TTTGTGGTTGAAGAGATGTAGCAATTTCAAATGGGCACCTCTTTTGTAACATCTTCTTACATCTGCCCATTGCTGGGAAGCACAAGATGGACAATGTAGTTGCAATGTAGAAAACAGGATCAGAATTCCAAATGACCTCAGCAAATTAGAGATTTGGGCCAAAACTAACAAAATGAATCTGAAGAAGAAATTTAAGATATTACATGTAGGCAGAAAAAAACATAATGCAAAGATACAGGATGGGTGATGCCTAGCTCAACAACATTCTGTGTGAAAAAGATCTTGGAGTATTTGTGGACAACAAGTTGAACATGAGCCAAAAATGCGATGAAACTGCTTAAAAGGCTAATGGGATTTTGGGCTGCATCAAAGGCTGAGGGAAGTCATGGCTTTTAAACAGAGGCTGATTGGTCATCTGTCAGGGGTGCTTTGAATGCAATGTTCCTGCTTCTCAGCAGGGGGTTGGACCAGATGGCCCACGAGGTCTCTTCCAACTCTATGATTCTATGATTTTATGGTGCTTCTTCTGCTTTGGATGTGCTTTTCCTGCATGGCAGGGGGTTGGACTAGATGGCCCATACAGTCTCTTCCAACTCTTAAGATTCCATTATTCTATGTTCTGCCACAGGCAACTAGTTGGACCCTGTATAGATAGATAGAATTGATAGATAGAATATTTGACAAAATAAACCTTTGCTGTGATCTGATATTTTTATGAATTCAGTCTCCCATGGACAGAAAATGTAGATAAGACATGTTGACCCTTCCACACTCAACCTAGTTTATTCAAGGAGATAGAATGATGCACTACATCAAGGCACTACATGGAACATGAATTCCATATAGGTATTGCCTTATTTTTGACCACTATACCTAGTGTTACACATCCACAACTCTAATTTCAATTCAAATGGAAATGCTGGGCTAAGGCATAAGAGGTGAGATTTCTCTGCCCATAATATGCCAGCATGAAACTTTTCATTGACTGTGTTCTTCCCTATTATGGATGGAAATCTAGAAAGCTATTACAAGAGTTTATATTGGCTAGTTTGTGTGTGTGTGTAGGCCTCTGAAAGGCCAGAACCATCAAGTAACACTGAAGATGGTGCCAGCATTTAACAACTTCTTTCTAAAAAAAACATGAAAGACACATCTTCAGGTAAAGAGTATGTTCTCAGTGCCAGTAAGTAAAGGTATTTTTGCACTACATTTCCTCAATATGGACTGTTTCCTTTCCATTAGATCACCAATGGAAACTGTCACTTCTCACACCAGAAGCGACTTGCAGTTTCTCAAGTCGCTCCTGTCATACACACACACACAAAAGAAGGAGGGTGTAGGGGGGAAAGGGGGGGAGCTATAAAATAAATTATATTCTTTCTTAAATACTAAACACTCTATTTTGTTTACAAGAGCAAACATGTTAAGTGTCATTGTATCCTAAAATGCACATATCTTCAAGCAGTTAAATGGTCTGGTCAATAATGCCCCAGAGAATAAAGATCAAGAGCATTCTAATCTAGATGTATAGATTATTGTTATTATTTTGTATTCTTGGCAATTATTACTTTAATGAAGACATAAAACTTGTAAAACTTGTAAGAAATGCTTTTCCTAATGCCTTCTCCTTCATGCATATTAATATGCAGTACATATAATCAAGGCATAAAAAGTATTGTAAAATGCTCCACTGGGAAGCAGCATAAAATCGAAGTAGAAAGTGTAGATTATGTCCAATGGTGCAGCAGTCATTCTGGCCAAACACACAAAAGATGTAAGAAGTCCACACTTGGTGTGTCCCAATTACAAAATGTAGCTAATTAACATACAGGGTTAATGACTCTGGGATCTGCACATAGCAGGAGAAGAAGCAGACTCTAGCTCAGATGGTAGTTTAAAGAGAATTAGACACATTTAGTGGAGTATAGTTGGTGAAAGGTCTTTGGATCTCACTAGGGAAAAGGATAATTCATATTCAGGGTAAATAATGCAAAGGAAACTCAATAAATACATATAGATTACCTTCATCTCCTATTTTAATGATGGATGAAAATACAAAGGAGAATGCTTGTGTGTTATCGAAGGCTTAAATGGCTGGAATCACAGGGTTGCTGTGAGTTTTCTGGGCTGTATGGCATGTTCCAGAAGCATCAGGGCCAGCTAACACCTCCTAACAAAGGATTATCTCAAGTAGGAAGTAGTCAGTCTTTAAATCTGCAAGACCATTCAGTGTTAATCAATGTGACCAACTGCAATATTCACACTTGCCTCCAGCAGACAAGAGTTCTTTCTCCCACCCTGGATATTATTCCACAGATAGATAAACCTCTTTTGCCTAGTTTCCAAGACACCTCACAACCTCTGAGGTGTGCAACCACTTATATCAGCAACCCCATAGGAATACACTCAAATATACTCCAAAAGGTGAGGGAGTTTTATTGATGTACATCAATAAAACTGCCTCACATAGATGGGGGCGATACGTCACGAGAGAATGCTTCTGGGACATGGTCATACAGCCTGGAAAACTCACAGCAACCCAGAGAATGCTTGTGACTTAATTATCTTATCCTAACCCAACAGGACAATTTTAACACTTTTATCGGAACTTGGACCAGTTATTTTTGGGACTATGGACCCTATCACACAAATCTGCTATTTCACACATTCCTACTATCAGTGACAGCAGACATTCTCTTCCTTTGTACAATTGCACTGAATTGGCAATTTGTGGTCCCACAATCGTATTCCTGCATAACCTCCTACCCCTCACCTTCTTGCATTTCTGCGGTTCTCTAATTCTTTTAAAAAATTACAGCTATTTTGCATTTTTAGTTTCAAAAAACCCAAAAATAACAATAAACTGTAAAATAATGAGAAAACAGCTTGGGAACCGTGAGAAGAGGAGGAGGAGCATCTCATGCCTTGACATCACTTTACTGCTAGCATGACAGCACAGAAAGGAATGGATCCATTGCATCAAGATAGGTGATGGGAACGTTGTGAGATTGTAGGTTATTAACGGGTTTTTCCCATCAACAGTGACAGATGGGTTAATTGCATGGAGGAGACAGACTGACAGTAGGACACTCTGTTTCAATGTTTGTTTGCCTGCCTAGTGTAATAAAGTCATTAAACTCATAGCCTCCCCTAGTCAGTAGATCCAGTGCTCATACCACAGTGGAAAGATCGTGCAGTTGCAATCCTTCAAAAGCAGTGTTTGCAAGTTCTAGATCTCATAATGTAAACCAAAATTTCAATTTTCAACCTCAGAATTACCTTGTGCAGCAACTTGTGCCCCCCCCCCCCCCCCTGGACAGCACCAATCAGAGATATATTCAATTTCTGGTAAAACCTATAAGCCTGGAAATCTATAGTTTTGGCATTTCAAATTGTCCATACCATTTTTAAAGAGTAGTCTTGTAAGGTTTTTCCCTTCACAAACTATATAACTAGTAGATTCAGTTATGTTGTAGTAGACACTCTTCATGGCAACTGCCACATCTATAGGCATGTCCCTTCTAAGATTACACAACAACAACAAAATCAACCTGTATCTGTTATTGACCTTTTAGCTCTGACTCCCCAGCAAAAAGGAGCCACATCTCCAAGTGCTCAATAAACATTATTTTATTTTGGACAAAACCCAATGCGTTTTGGCATATCTAGCTAGCTAGCTAGCTAGCTATTGCTTTTTTTTTCAGGAGTAATATGAAAGGGTTTCCTTTCTGTCCTGCAAATGGAATGAGATTTTTAGTGTCAGAAATTTCCGCAGTTGCCCTTGAAGAAGGCCATCTATCTATCTATCTATCTATCTATCTATCTATCTATCTATCTATCTCCAGTTTTGCAATCTATAGACAATATCTCTTTTTTTCCTGTGGATTCCACAGAATGCTCTCCAGCTTGCAATTTTTATTATTCTGATGTTAAAAAATGAGGATAAAGTACAGCTCATGTCTGAACATATTTATAGAAAGTTGTTTCCTAATAGAGGACCCCCCACACACACACACACACTTTTCAACAACCTGCTTTTCAACAACTCATTCATTCAAGAATTTTGAATTATACCCAGAATCTGTATATTTGATCTGTGGTCTGCTTTTTCATCATTTATTAAAATAAAACCAAATTAAAATTCAATTGATTTAAAATACAGGTTGAACATCCCTTATCTGGAATGTATAATGCAAATACAGGTGTTTCATAATAATAACAAGAACAATACTCCCAAACACTTCTGGTCCCAAGCATTTCAGATCAGGGAAACTCAACCTGTACAGAGTGTGCTAGCAAGTAACATACTGGAATTAAGGTAAGGTATTAAATGAAATTAAATAAGCAAACAAACAAAACAACAAGAAGAAAACACCATTTATCATACAGTATGACCACTGCATCTGCTGGGGATATGTTCCAAGACACACACACCATGGATACCAAAAAACACAGACAATAATTATATTTTGACTATACCTTGGCTGGAATCATATTATAGAATCACACTGGAGAACCTGAAGAAGTCATTGAAAGTTTCAAAGGGAAATGTTTTTTGGAGCATGGGTTAATGAATATTGAGTCAGGTGGATAAGCAGGTCATACTGTATTTCTTATTTGTGTGATTACTTCCCTTTGTGCAATATGGAACTGATAACGGGGTGGCCCTGAAGTGGGAATATCTCAGAAACAAGGAAATCTCACAAATCAAGCTCACAAAATGCCCTCTATACTTGTACAACTATCATACAAGAATATCACAAACTTGTTTCTATGCAAGTTGAGTGTTTCCCTGCTTTAAAAGCCAATGAACACAAGTTGATCTGTTCAGTTTTGCACTGTGACCAGAATACGACAGAATGAAAACATATAACGCCCAGGTCAGATCACTGTATTTGGCTTAATAACCTGAGATATGCACAAACCTTCTATCTGCATATGAAGCCAGTTTAAGACTCGGTAACAATCGATTCCCATTTTGAATTAAATGGAAAACTGTAGTTAGTCAGAAGCTTTTGGGTTTAATTGCTGAACATCACAAACAGAGGAGAAAAGGCGCTGTGTGTACAGGCAAAAGGGTAATACATATCTTTGTTTATTAAGCTGGTATACAATTGTCTGCAGATGACCATTCTTGAAAACGCTGTTTTTTTCTAGTTGTCAGGATTGGTATAGTTTGAAAGTGCTGATGAGAGATTGACATTGAAATATGCCAGAATATAGTCTACAATGATAAATTCTTAAAGCAACCATTTTAATTTATGCATACTGGAGTGGATAGAAGGCATGCTAATGTAAGACATATGTAAGATTGCAATAAAAGTGCCATTTAAAAATTAATAAATAAAAAGATGTAAGGAGAGGGGAAGCATTCATTAGATATAAGGCAGCAAAATATGCAAAGTATTGAAATCACCAGTTCCATAATATTACACTAAACAGTATAGGCACAAGTCCTAGGGTTAGCAGCAGACTTGTCGAAGGGAGTTGTTTGATGAGGGAAAATGTTATGTTTTCCTACAGGTGACACCCATACACATCTGTCCAACAGACAACAAAAATACCTTCAGTAAACATAAATTTTCCAAACAATTTCTCCAGACAATATTTTCTTTTAATGTCTTAAATGCATGGTTACTCATATCCTGCAGGAAATCCAGACACCCTTTCCTAACGAAACATTTCAATTGTGTATATAGCCCATTTCCTAGGACCTTAACAATTTTGTTGTTACTGATGTAAAGGAAAATGAGGTTCTCTGACCAGTTAACATATAAATTACAGAAGAGAATGCAATATAGAATGTGAAGACACAAGCAATCATAAGAAAACTTCTCCCATTTTCTGTGTAGATCATTTTAATATATATAGATTTAGATCAAGGGAGTGAATCCTGCACCCGTCCAGATCGTTGGTAGAATTGCCAACATAGCTAGCAGTAAGGGATGTTGGGAATTGTGATCCCACAACATCTCGAGGGCAACATGATTCCCAACCCTGAGCTCAAAGTTATCGATGCATGCTTACTCAGAAGTATCTACCACTGTGCTCAGTGGGTTTACTGCCTAAATAGTATTTAGGATTGCAATTTTCCTTCAAAAGTAGGTAATGTGAGCAAACCTTTCAAAGAAGGAAAAAACAATGAAAAGCTAACATGCTCAGAATCAGATTTCCTGGACTAAATTGAAATTGTTCAAAATATATTCCAAACCTTCTTACATCCGCTCCCACCTTTCCTGACTGCTGGTGAAAATCTACTCCTAGCCCCATTCCCAAGACTGCTGCAAATATATTAAGGGCCATTAAACTTGGGATCCACCTTTGTTCCCCAAATGTGGGTTTGTGCAGGGATACTGCCCTCTATCATGAGGTAAGATTCATGCCCTGAGTTTAATAGTCAGACATTACAATGTACTGTTTTCAGATTCTGCTTTTAGACAGCATGGTTTGGATAATGTGTGCTTCAAATCTCAAGAGAAATGTCGGTGAACATCAAAAGAGATTTACAGATGGGCTTAAAGCTAACCTAAAAAAATGTGGCATAAACACCAAGAACTGGGAAGCCCAGGCACTTGAGCATTGTAACTGGAGGTCAGCTGTTACTAATGGTGCCATGGGTTCTGAGGAGGCACGAACAGAGGGCAAAAGGGGGGAATGTGCCAAGAGAAGGCGCATCAAGCAAACCCTTGTCGGGACCGCCTTCCATCTGGAAATATATGTCCTCGCTGTGAAAGACCATGCAGATCCAGAATAGGTCTCTACAGTCACTTATGGACCCAAATCCAAGACTCTACCCTTGGAAGACAATCATACTCGGCCATGAGTGATTGCCTATAGTAAAAGTAGTGTAAATCATATGGAATGAGACTAACAATGTTAAAAGCCTAGTGTCTATATGTCAGGCTCAGGCAGCCTCAAACATTATACATGTGCGTAAATAAAACTTGCATTCTAGCAAATATTTTATTTGTATACATATTCCTTGCCTGGTATTTAAAAGTATTTCCTTCGTCAAATCTTTATCCATTGATATTTTAATTTCTACAAAATCTTGTCATTTGGTGAAGTTCCTCAAATTCTCTCTACTAGGGAGCTTCTGGGAAATTGAGCAGAGACGCTCTAGCAACAGACCACAGATCTCTGTAAGAGAGATAGGTGGTAGTTAATATCAAACTGCTATAACAATGCAGTATGGATATACCACAGGTCTGAAGGACCAAAAGAACTTCCACACAAAATGCTACATCATGGTTAGTTTGGCTTACTCTGAGATAAAATGGAGTCCTCTGTTGAAGTGAACTTCATGGCCTAGGTTTTTATGATTAAATATAAATACCCTCATGAGCATTTAGTCATCGAAGCACTTTGGGGCACATCAACTTTTTGAGACCTGAAAGTACATTTACAATTTGGAAGTGCACACTTTCCCTATATTCATGTATAAATCTAGAAATTTTAGTCAAAAAATCAACCCCAAACACCTGGGTCAACTTATCCATGGGTCAATATAAGTACTCTATCTTAACTCTAAAGGAAACACCAATTTCTCTGAATGGCAAAAAGCAAGAGCTTAGCCCACCCTGCAAGAAACTAAAAGAAGTACTGCCAGCACCACCATCACCCCGCTACGGTCTCCATCGTGGTGCCACTTCTGGTTCTTTTGCATATCTGGGCAGGGAAATGGCAATAGCAGATGGGGCAAGTGCTCCCCAATGAGATGGGCTTAGTGCTTTTTCCTCTTTGCAGAATGACCTTTGGCTTATTCAGTTATATCAAAATCAGAATTTCTGCCTCCAAACCTGCACTCAACTTACACAAGTATATATGGTAGTTCCCCTTATTGATCAGAAGAGGTATGAAACTGTATCCCTTTGATACTCTTCCATTAATCAATGTGTCCAGTTGTGTGTATATGGCAATTTTCAGGCCTTTCGGTTATCTTGGAATATTTCATTTTTTTCAGTATACTTCAAGTCTCCAATTTTTAAAATGAAAATTTTAAAATATTCCACTCAAAAACCTTAGAAATATGTATATCTATCCAGTATATAATTTCATTTTCAGTTATCCCTGAAGGGGTTTCCTAGAAGGAAAGAAAGTTGTTAAAAATGGTTTTTAAAATAACTTTGTACCAAAATAAAATTGCCCAACATTGACAAATCTGTTCATACAGCCCTTCTTTCTATAGGTATCTTGTATATGCCTGTTACTTCACAGACCTTTTGCTGATCATGTGCCTCTCTTGTGCACTGCACCAACCATTTCCTTTTCTCTAAACCAAGGGTTGGAAAACTATCAAGCAGCCCTCCCTTGTATGGAAATAGGATCATACTGAGGTTTGCCACCATTCCACTGCTCAAAATCAAAGTCTTTCTTAAAATTGGATAAACTGCTATTGTTTAATTATTTAAAAAGTATCTTGGAAATTAAACATTATCCTTGCCATATTAAAAAATATGACAGCATGCAATGTGAATCTAAAATGTTCAGATACACAACAATTGGCAATCCTTTGCCAGCCAAGTAGCTCTGAAATATTCACAGAGGGGTGCAGCTATGGAGCACTTGACCTGGGTGGGTTCCCCCATTCATTCACATGGAGAAGACACTCCTATTCACACAAAGAAGAGAGGTTTCCCACACAAACAGGCCATCCATATATATGCATCTAGATCAGAGCAGCAGACCATAATGCATATATCGTAGACGTAATACTTTGGATGGAATGCATCAAATATTTCAGCTGTGTGAGAGTGCAATGCAGTCAGACTAGGAAAAATATCTTATTTTATAGCACAATAGAGTTTGAGAATGGTTGATCATGCTGCAGAAACTCCATGGAAAAACAAGCACTCAGACCTGGGAGGGCAAACTTGCTAAAAGATCTTTTCTGTTGTACCTAAGCTGGCTATAATCTCCTCTTGCCAAGTCTACTAAGCAGTGCATTTTTTTTTTCTTAGACACAATCATGCTGACACTGTCTTTGAGAAATTACAGAGTGATAATTTCTTAACTCTTTGGTTGGAATGATTATTATACATTTCCCAGAGATATTAATGCACAGGTTGAAGCCCTAGTAGGAACACATCTCTCTTCATAAACTACTCTTTCATTGAGTGAGAGGCCAATTGCTCTTTTGACAAATTAGAGATTTATGATGAGCATGAAGGTTGTGCCTGATGTAGAGGATTCATAATGTGCAGCATTGTTAGTCAAAGAAAGAACAACAATCTGATTCTCAATCTTTTGTCACTCTAACCAAAGTAGAATAGTTTGCTAAGGCAAAACCCATAAACAAGCATTTTCAAGAACGATTCACAAGTGCATGGAGCGTAAAAGGGTTTATGCTGCCTGTTGCTATTCTCTAGTGCCTGCATATCCAGGGGAAAGTATAAAAGGGCTCTACACATGTACAATTGTACATGCAAATCGGGGACTTGGAGACCAGAGAAGGACCTTCATGCACAAAGTTGTATGCACATGCAGCAGGGCTAGGCAACTCTGTCTCTCCAGGAATTTGGGGGGCTGCGCATCCAATGTTGGGAGAGGCAAGACCAATTGCGCTGTGACAACCTAAGGAGTGGTGGGTACCTAGCTGCCCATCCATCTTCTTCTGGAAAAATGAAAGTTGGGGAGCAGAGCTACAATCCCATTTGCCCTCTTCACATGTTCAAGTGGGAACAGGACTCAACAGGGGTGTATTCAGGGCAGAGAAGGTAAGTTCACTTCCACCACATGTTAAGGTATCAGGTCAGTCTCTGCTCCTAGTTTATTTAAAGCTGAAGTAGCTTTAAGTTTTCATTAGCAAATGCAAAAACTATTAACACAATACAATTTTGCTGCAACATATATGCTGGGAGAAAAACAACAATCCCTCATTGATACTTCAACCAGAAAGTCTTCTAACTCTTCCATTCATTCATTTTTGGCACGATTGACTGCTTACATTTGGTTAGTCTGAAATAAATACATTAAAATTATTTATTCTAACCATCTCTGTATCTATATATAAATTCACCTTCTGGTAAACAAATACTCTAGCTTTTATTTTATTTTTTGCTTATAGTGGTTTTGTAATTTTCTTATTCATCATTTTAATTTTTTAACTGACTGCAACATGCTCAGGTTGACTTTCCAGTCAATTTCACCCAAATTCCAACAGGAATTGGTTTATAAATCGGTTCCAACTGGAACTGGTCATTTGGAATTTCCAGTGCAGGAAATTATGTTATATGCGTCTCAACAGGTATCCTAAGTTACAAATTGATGTGTCTAATAATATCTAATGAAGAGAAAAGAGACTGCTTGAAAATTAAACTCTACTCTGGAAAGGAAACACACCTACATGACCAGGCAAACTCATTTCTTCCTAAACATAAAGGGCAGGATCTATACGTTTTTGCCCTGTTTGTAGCTTTAAATGGCAGCAGCCTGTAAGCACAGTAAAACCATGCTACACCTGCCAAAACAAGATGATTTGTTTGGCCTAGCTATGTTATGGCAAGTTGGCAACTAATGAGTACCATCCCACCCACCCCAGGTTCTTGTATTCAAAGCCTATGTCGGGCATCATGGCTATATCCTCCGGGGGACCCTCGGTTTCTATGGGGCTTGTAGGAGTCCTGGTATGAGTCGGAGTACTCTTCTTCCACAAGTGGGTAGTGATCTCGGCTGTGTTGGGAACTGGAAGACAAGCGGTTCCTGCTCTTCCGAGCCCTTTCATTGTGGTAGTTTTCGTCAGAGGTCATGAGACTTCGTCGTTCAATTGGAGAGTTCTCAGTAGAATGGTTGCTATGCCTCATACGTTGGCTCTAAAAACAGCAAATAATTCAAGCATTAAAAGGAGGGGGAGGAAAACAATAGCATTTTACTCCTTTTGAATTGGTTGTGGTCTTGTTCTGAGGGCCATCAGCACCCGTAAGCTTCTGCGATTCGTTAAGAAAACCATTTTGGCTAGGATATTCTTGTGAAATTATATTTTCCTAAATTGTCTGAGGATTGTGGAAATTAGGAGTGGACAGTTCTGAAACATCTGTATCCAGTAAGGGGCTGCTGTTATGTTACTATGTAGGGGAATCAGCAAGGTGACGGGTGCCAATTGTGAGAAATACACAATGGGAGTGATGTGCATTATGTCGGATATGCGTAAGTTCTATTATGCATTTGAATATGAGCTAGGGTATGCCAATACTCAGAGACACTTTTGCCAGTGTCACATCCTTACAATTTCCTAACAGAGTTTTTTTCATATCTCTGCTACACAGCTAAGTTTTGTAGAGTAAATTGTGATTGAAAATTGTGACCACCACATTTGGGAACACAGTCTGTTTTCAAATTTTTGGGGAAAAAAAACAAATGCTGATTATTTTTGTGTGTGTTATATTAAAAATATATGTAGCAGCGGAAGATTTAGGGCACACTGCCCAATTTAAGTAATGCATGTTTATTGTTATTATTATTGATAATTCAATAGCTCTTCCCCTATCAAATTCAGGAGGATCTAGTTATATAAAGAACTGCTGCTCCTTCAAACAATAGAGTACAATCAGTGCACTATCCTGCCTGATTGAAAAGTAGGATAATTTGATTTTTATACTGAAGTGGTCAAATTAATAGTTGGTACTGTATATTAGATTAAGTAACCCCCCAAATTAGTAAGTTACAAATGGTTCCTTCCATGGAATCTGATGTATAGGAACAAAATGTATTAAGATGTTGGATTTTATTCTGCTAAAGAGATAATTCGCCTGGGCTTTATATTCTGTTAATGACTTCTCTGTTCTTTGGATGAGGTCCAGAGTGATTCAGCCCAGCTATAGATGAAATAGTATTCAAAATTTATTTATTTGCTTCACTTGTACACTTGTATAAAATGAAATGGGATCTTATTTTGAAAGTGTAGCTCTTAACTATATGTCTTACAAGTAATGCAGTCAGCCTTCTACATTCACTGGGACTAAGGGCACAGGACTCCACAACAGTGGGAACAGCACAATTTTTTTTTTAAAAAAAAAACATTTTTTTTAATCTGAAAGAACACATCTCTAGGCATCTCTAGATCCTTTGGTGTAACTCTTTGGTCAGCTTCCACCAGACATGACCAGATAGTTGTGCTGGAGGACCTCAAAATTCCTAGAAATTCCCAGGAAGATCTTATTAATCAAATCCATGAATAATCAAATCAGCAAAAATTAAACCTGCAAATGTGGAGGGCTGACCATAATGTCTATGAGTGGTCACTATGCAAATTTCAGTCTGAAACATCTTGATTTAAGTTCTCATAATGTTGTACAAAAGCAAACTTTGTGAACCGGGCTAAGCTTGACTTTCAGCAGTTGTGACAACAGATTATCAGTGAATGGAAATATCAGGAGGGAAAATCCATTTCTATATACAAACTTGTCTAAATGAATTTGTTCTGCCCACATCCTTTTCGCTTTGCCTTGGGTCAAAGATCAAGAGAAGGAGTTTGCCAACAAAAGCAAGCTGCCACACGGACATTTCCACATAAAAACAAGAATGTGTCCACAGAACGCAAAATTGTTGCTTGCACAGTCAACCAGTCACTAAGCAAAAACAATACCATATAACAAAGCTGGCCTAACAAAATCAAACATACATTTGAAATGTAAATACTCACTTCTGCATACATGCAGTGAAGAAAAAGCAAGAGAGCACTTTAATTGTGAATGAGATTATAACGGGAAAAGGTGATTTCCTACAATGTTTTTTTACCCAATAGCAGACAAGGATTCTTGGTTATGTTTCCAATTTGCTTGGCTCTCCAGCTGACGTACAGTGGAAACACCACACAAATGGGCCAAGCTCTTTAGTAAAATTGGCCTCGGTGCACTCTTGATCTTGTGCTTACAGACATACAGAACTTGTACTGAAAAGACATTTTTCCCCAAACTTAATAAAACACGTACTTCTTATTAAGGACTATTTACATGCCACGTTTGAAGTTTCAAAGGCCAGCCGTTTTTGAGCTATCCCTGTGGAAAAAAATGGTCAGAATCTTTTTATAATGGGAAAAATAATTTATTTATCATTTTAAAAAATCAAAACAGTTTAAGGAATGTTGTCAAAATATTAAATCTGGGGACACATGAGGCAAACTGGAGGTAGATAGGAATTAGCACAATATTATAACCTTTTGTGAACTGGTTGTTGTGTGAAAGTTTAATAAAACAAACAATTTTGCAAGTCTACCTGTATTGATAATCAATGCCATGTATTTGTTAACAGACTCATCTTCCAAGAGCATACTGATCAGTGGTTTTTCCATAGCAGAAAAGTCAGATGTGATCTACTCCCCTGATGTATGCACAGTAGTCTTAATATGACAGATATTTTAAGGGTATTATAATAAAACTATACAGAAAACAAAGATCTGCTGAAAGTTTCATTTTCCTGGTGGCTATGGCAGATTCTTTGTTAGCTGTAGTATCATGAGGAACAAGCCATCCTACATAAATCAACAAGAGGATCTTCCATACTTCTTGATCGCCCCCTTTCAATGAAGTCTAGACATGGAAGCAGAAAATTACTTGAGTGTTGAGACATCAAACCTGCATTTACTTGGTAGTGAATGTCATAGAACTCAATGGGACTAACTTCTGATTCATGTGTGTTTGACTGAATTACAGAACTAACTGTAACTGTTTTTTTCCCCTGATATTTGCTACACTTAGTAAAGGAAAAGGTTTCCCCTTGACATTAAGTCTAGTTGTGTCTGACTCTGGGGGGTGGTGCTCTTCTCCATTTCTAAGCTGTTGTCTGTAGACACCTCCAAGGTCATGTGGCCAGCATGACTGCATGGAGCACTGTTACCTTCCCGCTGGAGCGGTACCTATTGATCTACTCACATTTGCATGTTTTCAAAATGCTAGGTTGGCAGAAGCTGGGTCTAACAGAAGGAGCTCACCCTGCTCCTCACATTTGAACCATTGACCTTTCAGTCAGCAATACTGCAGCTCAGCAGTTTAATCTGCTGTGCCACCATGGCCCCTTTGCTACACTTAGTCATTAATATTTTCTAGCAGAAAACAGCATTAAAAAACATTTTAATATACACACAGAGGGATGTGTATAATGGGAATTCCCATACTGTTCCATATTGAGGAATGTTTTATATGAACTGCAGGAATTTCCTCACATGTAAAAGAAAATGGAACAGTTGTTAGGTATACAGATTCATGTGCATTTGCTGGATCTGGTGTGTACATAGGAAATAGAAAGAGACAGTGAGAAAATAACAGAGGCAGACATTTCCTCTTCTCCATAGCATAAATATGAGCTGCATCAATGTCAAAAGTATGGAACCATACCTGTAATCCAGAGATTGCTGTAGGGTAAGGGGATAGTGCAGTGGAGCCTAGGTTTCGTCCAAGCAAAGGTGTCATGGGTGTGCTACTGGTGGTGTGTGTGGCACGCCAGTAAGCCTCAAGGTATTCCGCCAAGTGTTCACAAGCATCTTCAAGTTGATTTTCATCCAGAATAACATCAAACATTTCCTGTTCAGGATAAAGCATTATGTTAAAAACTGGAAACAACTAGGAAGCAGAAAGTAATAATCCTTCGTCCTCTTCCCAAAAATTCTATGTACTATATTCATAACAGAGTAGTACAACAAAAATGGGTTGGCGTGGTTTGTTTAGCAACGGACCTGAGTTTATTTTAAACCACAACTCCTGATTTTCTCCCAAAAAGGCAAAAAAAAAACCCTACTAAAACAAACTGAAACATGTTACAGTACAAACCTCTTAATTACAGATTCAGTCTTCACAGTTTTACTAGTTTATCATTCAATAACCAATTCAATGGGTCTGCTCTGTCTGAGATTAGCAATCAGATTTCAGTATCACTGGATGATGATGGCAGACTAGTGATAAAATATATGTTTATAACTAGTACAGTTACAGGATTCTGGAATAATCTACCTAGAACAGAGAGTCGTAATTTCATACTCTACAGGAGAAATATGTGGTGTTGTTGGTGGGGCTGAGGAATAAAATGCTCAGTAAGTTGGCAAGAAGAGGGCAGCATCCCTGCACCTTCAATAATTATGTAGACAAAGGATTTTCAGCTAATTAAGGACTCAACAGGAGCTTGTGGCTTGACAAAATCCATTCTTGTAATGGATCCAAATCTTCCTACTACCCAAAAGGGCAGCGTATATAGCAACCACAATTTTCACATCAGAAATATATTTATAATCTTACTTTTTTCTTTTTCTAAATGCACATTTAGCAGACCCCAGGTTTTTCAAGTAAATACTAGCATCAAATAAGACTTTACAATAGAACATCTCTGTTCAAATTAATGCTGAGGGAAATTCCTATATAATCCTAGCTGTTTGTGTTACGGAACAAAGACTGCTGTTTATACAACAGAGGATTTTCAACAACCACCATTTATATGCAGCCTACCTATTCAGATGACAACATGACTCTTTTCAGAGCTAGCAAGCCTCACTTTAAAAAGCTGCACACCATTTTCGCCCATCTGAAGTACAGTGTGAATACCATTCTTCAAATATGGTAAACACAGACTAACTCTACTATAGACCACTAATTGAATAAGCATTCCAGTTCTGTAATTCTATAGATTTTCCAAAAGATTCGTGTGTACAGCAGACAGGATCTCACATTATATCCCAGATAGTCTGGAATCTGAGGTCCTTTCTACACTGCCATATAAAATCCAGATTATCGACTTTGAACTGGATTATATGGCAGGGTAAAGGTAAAAGTAAAGGTTTCCCCCTCACATTAAGTCTAGTTGTGTCCAACTCTGGGGGTTGGTGCTCACCTCCATTTCTAAGCCTAAAAGTCGGCATTGTCCGTAGACGCTTCCAAGGTCATGTGGCCAGAATGACTGCATGAGCACCGTCACCTTCCTGCTGGAGGGGTACCTATTGATCCACTCACATTTGCATGTTTTTAAACTGCTAGGTTGGCAGAAGCTGGGGCTAACAGTGAAAGCTCACCCCCCGATTCAAATCGCCAACCTTTCTGTCAGCAAGTTCAGTAGCGTAGCGCTTTAAGCTGCTGTGCCACGAGGGGCTCCATATGGCAGTGTACACTCAGATAATCCAGTTCAAAGCAGATCAGGTGGATTATCTCTTTGGATAATCTGGATTATATGGCAGTGTAGAAGGGGCCTGAGGCAGCAGACTAATAATCAACAATCTCATAATTAAAGAATTCAGTAATGTATTCCAAGCTCGGGGTGGTAATTCTCTTGTGTTCTCTCCCAAATAATGTTAAGAACAAGGAAACAAGTTTTCATCCCGTACCTATGTAGCTTTCTGGGAATGGTGCAACTTTTGCACAGTTCCCAATGGAAGCTTTCTGCATAGGAAGAAAACTGTTCAACACTCAAACTGTTCAACACTCAAACTGAAGCTTCATCCAGCTAAAATTTCTTTTCCTGCAGTGTAACTTTTATTTTGCACAAAATTCAGACCAGCAAAAACTGCAGCCAAGTCCTACACAATGATGTTTGCTCTTTTCCCAAGTACATAGCAAATAAGAACTTAAGCAAGCAAGTCTTTTCCTCAAAAGGCTGTGCAGTTTTATTTCTGTAATAAAACAACTGAATGTGGGTATGTACAACAAAGCTGCAAAATTTCTCAAATTCCTGCAGTTTTTAAAAATGAAAATTTCACCAAAGTAGTATCAGCATTTTGGAGAGACCTTTTAAGTCTAAACTAAAGACCAAACCTATAAGAGACTCGTTGCCTCAATGACCTGGTAGCTACCAGTCACCACTGATCTTAAGGTATCAGGTAAGTGAGGTTGAGATGGATTTATCCCAATAAATAAATATACTGGATTCAAAGGCACCCTTCCACTAGAAATTGTCTCAAGCCACAGTTGCACAAGGTGGAGGATCATTTAGGTAGTGCCATTTTGGCTCATATGATTGCTGCCTTCATTTATATTCTGTCTTTCCCCACAAAACTGGGTCTCAATATACTCAGAAGTAAGCCACATTGTGTGCAATGGGAAGTTATTTCCTGGTAAATGTTCAAAGAATTGTAGCCTAACTTTGAAAAAAATCACACTAGGCTGGTGGTTGGTGAAATAAAAGCGTATAGTGAATCTATGTCTACAAGGATTTTTGTGATATGAACTACAGAGCCACTAATTATGTTGGGTATGGATGCACAAGCAACAGTTTGTTCACAGCTTATTCAGTAAACTGAATTAAACTCAGTACAAGCATCTGCTCTTCTCAGAAACAACAGCCCTTCCAATTTTATAGCATCTCTTTAGTAAGGTCTGTAAGCCAGAAACAGAGTGTAGTCATTCTTTATGAGATGGTTCAGGGGACATTTAGACCGCTAGAACATTTATCTCATTATCGTTAGCATATTTTTCACTATGCAGGGCAGAATGAAACATTCAGGCATGTTTCACAGGCACTTTTTAAACCTCGTTTTTCCAAAAAGATCCTGTGTCATGATGAACTGTGAAGTTAAATGCTGATTCTTAACAAATTTATGCAGTGACCGCCGATTTCAGCACTAGCTTGTGTGATGAGTGTGAAATATGCATGAGGATTTGAAACTGACCAAGAAAACATTGCTAATCATTAATATTTCAGGCCAAAGCTTGTTTCTAAGTTTACAAGATAATTCAAACTCTCCAAGATTTGGCCCTGTTCAGGTGTCTGTCCCCACACCAAGATTAGAAACACAATGTCTAGGAGAGGATGCCTAATGGCTATGTCCCAATCATTACATTCGCAAGGACATTGTTGTCCTCCATGAAAGGAGTAAATCTTGCCACAGGGAATCTGGTCTATCCATGGAGGGCTCCTGCACAATTGAGAGCATGAAGCCCCACAGCTCTAAACTGGATAGAGAATGTAAAAAGTAGAAGGATTTGCTGATAAAGATGCTCACTTTCTAGTGCAGAGGATTACAGCTATAACTATATAGAAAGCTTCCACAATATGAGAAGGGCACTGTAGAGCAGGAGTGGGGAACTGTGGCCTTCCAGATGCTCCTGGCCTGCAAATCTCATGACTTTTAGCTGCTGGAGCCAGGATTGAAGAGTTATAAGGAAGCTGCAGTCCAAAACCATCTACCGTCCAAAAACAGAGGACCACCATTTCTCACTTCTGCTGCAAAAGGGTGTGTGTGTGTGTGTAGAGCATACATGGCAGTAATCTTCCAATAAGAAGATCCTTACTTTAATAACATGGAGAACCAGCAAAAATGAAAAGGGAAAAACTTGTTCGATATTGGTAGAACAACATTACAGTATTGCCAGTCAAAGGTGTACCTAAAGGGATCCATTTTGGGTCAAGAAGCACACATCACCTTAGGGTCCCTACCTAAGCATGATTCATACACTCAATATAACATTGCAATCAAACTAATGCAAATCAAAGCACAAATGAGATATGGAATTTGATAATCTGACCACATTCATGCAAACTAACCTTGCTCACTAAACTGCATCATCACTGCATCTTATAATTTGATCCTATGCAGGGTGAAACATACTTAAGCACAAAATTACATACAGCTAACTTTCAGACAGCAAAACTTGATATATGGCTTGCAGCTGTGGGAATCACATGTTGCTGAAATGGAGCTCCAAACAACACACCATTCGCAATGCTGGTTGAAGTTTGGACTTGTAGCCCAACATCAAATAGAGTACCGAATGCTTCCTACCCCAAGCTTAGAGGGCTGCATTGCAATCAGTGAGAGAAGTAAGGTGGAACCAGTGAATTAGACTGAGAGATTGTGACTTGCCCAAGCATCACCAAGGAGGTTTCTTGCTCTCTCACTGGAGTTATTATAACCACAGTTAAACTCTTCCGTGACAGCTTGAGAATGGGGGGGGGGGGTCCATTTATATGAAAGTAGCATAAAAACATTCCACTATTTAATTCAAATGGGTTGATTGCAACTGGACTGTTTCAAGCATTTTGATGAGATGCACAATATAATGTGCTAGTATATGATTTGGAACCAATACGATGTTTCTACATGTGTTCATTTTAGTTACAGCTAAGAATTATTTCTTAATATAGGTACTGGGTTTTCCTTTTCCTTTGCTACAAGAAATACAAATCTGTAGAAAATTCCTTGCTATGACAGCAACCTAATACACTGGACCTTCATTTACTTGAGAGATCTTTTATTCACCCAGTGCAAATTTCTCTGGTGCTGTGAGTGAAAAAGAAGTGGGATGATGGAGAAAGGAACTCTAGACCTTTTTGCTATTGTAACCCTAAACGCCTGTGTGCATCACTACTGCGAACATCAAGAGGAGGAGGAAAGATGAGCACTTCACTTTGTGAGATTTGTGACCTATCTTCTGACCCACTCAGGGTTTGATGACTGCCATTTATAGATCAGTCAGAAAGGGGTGGGTGTGCCTTGGCACAAAAGTGGTGTTATGCCAATATGACAGCTTCTGTTAATCTATGAATGTGTGTCACACACACACATGGTGTACACAGAATGAAAATCTGTACTCACCGGTGGACACTGTGCAAGTTTATCTGCTGCAACCAACTGGACATTTAAGTGTTTGCTTTGTGACTTTCCTCTTGACTTGATCAGTCGCTGCAAGACCTAAAAGAAGAGAAGGCAAACATTATGGTGAGATTGAGGTAGATCATGCTTTGAATAGTAAACTCCAGGAGACTCCAGGATGTCCGTGAGTAATTGCTACCAATCATAGTATGGGCAGCTCACATTGAGGTGCCCCCCCCCCCCGAAATTCTCATGGTGGTTCGCGAAAAGGCCTTACTGGTGCATTATTTAAACTGTTATGTTTATTCATATCATGATCTGATCACCATACTCAATATATCCCATATGCATGGGGGTATTGGGTAATGATACAAAAGGTTTGCTAGGCTAGACCCTCTTTCACTCAGACTCAGCCCCCCCCCCAAACTCAGCCCCCCCGAACAAACCCCTGAAAAAAATTCAGCCCCCCCCCCCCCCGAAATGAAATCCTGGCTACGGGCCTGGCTATCACCTATCTGATACGGATTGGAATCCAGGATCTGTTGTCAGAAGGGCTCCACTGCAACCTATCTCATTCAGAAGGTTCTCTTGACACAAAATATAGCATTTTAGGAGACTAAAAAAGGCCGGAGGTTTAGCACAGCTGGTAAATTATCAGCAGTTGTAAGATCTATCAACCAAAAGGTTGCAAGTTCGAACCCCGGGTTGGCGTGAGCTGCCAAATGACACCCTAGCTCATTGCTTACCTAAGCAATTCGAAAACAGCTTTAGCTGTAATTAGAGAAATTAGGTACCGCTAAAAGCCTGGGGAGGTGTTTTACGATGCCATAAAGAAAGAAGATCAGAAAATGCTGGGCAATCAAAAGAAAGGAGGAAGTCCTGTCGGTTCTTCGTCATAGAGGATAGAGCAACAGCACCCCCTGGACTCAAGCCCAACCTTCCATGGCATCAAAAACAGCTGGACACTGAATCAAAACAAGCCACCTCTTTCTGTTGCCTGTCTGTCTGTGTATTGTCTATACAAAGTGGCATTGAATGTTTGCCAAGTATATGTACCTGAGTCCCCTTCAGGGTGAGAAGGGCAGAATATAAATAAAGTGTTATTATTATTATTATGGGGAGGAAGGGGCAGTGAATCCCTTTCCTGTTAGCTTTCTTGCCTGAACCTAATTCTGTGTACTACTTCCTGAAATCAAGTTTTTCAATGTTATTGCTGAATTCTGCTCATTAGACATCAAAGTAAATGTTTCAAGACCAGTGACTTTTTGAGCCTTATACTAGTGAGCCCCTTAAACCTGGATTCTAGCACCGCTGCAGTAGTCTTTGTCAAATGCATGACTAGAGCCGTGCTCATATTTAATGAAAGGAAATATTAATTTTACAAAGAAAAAAATACCCTCAAGTGCTATTGCAGTGGAGCAGAGAAAGCAAACAGCAGATTGCACAAGGTAAAAGATACAGTGACAATAGGATCATGTTAAAACAAAACCTTATCCTAACAGGAAAGTAGAGAGCTTGATGGAGAGCAATGAATGCTTTTCCACGTATGTAAAAGAACAGGGTGGTGGAAAAGTCAAAGATGTGAGTGAAAAATCTGAAATTGGATTGTATATTAATAAAAGTATGTCTGCAATCTCATAGCCCTTGGGATTTCTTTGGGGTGGGGGTTGTGTGAGTCTGTATTATAAAGCATGAACAAATACTGAGAGAGAGAGAAAAGATCAAAAGTTGGAAGGACAACGTCTGCTCTTCCCATTGTAAGTACAAAAGATGTTGTTACAGCTCATTCAATTGGGCTTTGTAAGAGATTTCAATATGATGGGTAGAAGCTTAAACTTGGTGTGGGAAACATCAGGGCTCCATCCTGGTGCATTCAAAGCCTTAATTCCCAAATCTGTAGAAAGTTTTTTTTCTGCAGTGTGTTCAATACAATTTCAAGTATTTTTTCTAATGTCATACTCTACACATAACTTTTAATTATGTACTTTTGACTAAACACTACAGGAGCTTTAGGAACTTTGTTTGGGTGTATAATTGAAAGCTTCAAATAATGTTTATTTTTGTAGGAGGTTTTACAAATGGAGCTGACTTTGCTCAGAACTATTTTCACTGTATTTTAGATATATTACAGACACCTGGGAAACCTGGTCAACAATGAAACAACTATGGAAATGCTGTTGAAGATTTCTGAAGTTCACACGTTTGGCAACCAGGTATACAACAACTTTCACTACTCTTCACTAAAACACGTAAGCTTTAAATTAAACTGTAATTTTGCAAGAATAAAATTAATATGAATTTCCCAGATCTATATAATGCTTATTGTCAACAATACTTTCACTTGTTACTTTTATATCACAAGCATTTGACCTTTTCAGAGTTGTACCATCATCACACTTTTGTCTCTGGTGTCATCTGCCATTTAAAATTTTAGCCATCTCCCTACCACTATGTTTAATTCCGGTAAGGTAAAGGTAAAGGTTTTCCCCCTGACATTAAGTCCAGTCGTGTCCAACTCTAGGGGTTGGTACTCATCTCCATTTCTTAGCCAAAGAGCCAGCATTGTCCATAGACACCTCCAAGGTCATGTGACTGCATGGAGTGTTGTTACCTTCCCGCCAGAGCAGTACCTATTGAACTACTTACATTTGCATATTTTCAAACTGCTAGGTTGGCAGAAGCTGGGGCTAACAGCAGGAGCTCACACAGTTCTCCCAATTCGTACCTGCAACCTTTTGGTCAGCGGGTTCAGCAGCTCAACGGTTTAACCCATTGCGCCACTGGGGGCTCCTAGTTCAGTTCTGAGAAATTGATTTAATTAATCAAATCTTATGAGAGACTTCCTCATCCTCTTCACCTTCTCTTTCTCCTTCTCTTCTCCCCCTTCCTTCTCTCTCAGTAATAATTAACATTACATTTTAAACACTTACAGATCTTGATTAGGTTGTTGTAGGTTTTTCAGGCTATATGGCCCTGTTCTAGAAGCATTCCATCCTGATGTTTTGCCTGCATCTATGGCAGGCATCCTCAGAGGTTGTGAGACCCCACAACCTCTGAGGATACCTGCCATAGATGCAGGTGAAATGTCAGGAGAGAATGCTTATAGAACATGGCCATATAGCCCTAAAAACCTACAACAACCCAGTGATTCCGGCCATGAAAGCCTTTGACAATACAGATCTTGATTAGCTTATTATATTTTTCTTAGTTGAGTTCAAAATTAGCATTCAAAAGGTAGGCAGAATCTGAAATTCAATATGCTATAATTTTTTCCCATTGTTAAGGTATCTCCCCCTCCTACCCTAGACCTTTGGACTTGATAGAAAAGGAGATAGAAATTGAGTTTCCCCAGCTATCATAATGTTCCTCACCTGCAAACTTACTAGGCTACTGTCTTTGAAGTACTGTTCCTTTTGTCACTGCAGAACAGGAACTTGGCACAATGATTAACACCATCGAAATGTGTGATAACATCAAGGCAGGTCAAGTACCAATAAATATGCAAGCAATGTGTTGAAATTAGACTAAACATTTTCTAGATGACAGATTCAGTCCAGAGACTAAAACGGTTGTCTGATTCAATAACTACACATCAAGGGAATTGAGCATTTATCTTTTTAAAAAAAATCTTATACAACTTCTTTCCTCAAAGTTTATATTACCTGTAGTAAAGGGATGAAAAGTAAGGGCTGATAATGCAATCTCAAGTATAGCAAGTCAGAATCCTAACTGAGTTCAACAAAGCTTTCTTTCAAGCCATCTATATAATTGCAGTAATAAACTTAAGTATGTAGTTTTACACTTTGTGGGGAACTAACACTTTTGTGGGATGCCATGATTTCAGAAAGGCAATATGAGCAAAAAAATTGATCTATTCTACGCACCCCTCCCGCCAGCTACTCATAGTTTCTTTTTAAAGGATTTTTAAAAGTAACAGCAAATCACGGAACAATCTCGTATTTCCATCTCTTTTTCACCCGAGCTGCTGTCTCTTTAGATCAGTGGTTCCCAACCTTTTTTTGACCACAGATCACTTGACCAGGGACCACTTGACCAGAGACCACTCGCCAACATTAGTACCAAAAGGGTTACAAATCAGTTTTTTGTCAACTTTAGATTTGGTTTGGTTACTTGGGGTGACGATTCAGAAAATTGGATAGACCACATCAGCTCTAGTTTCTGATACAGAACATATGCCATCCAGTAGTCGCCATTTGTTCATCCACAGAAAACCATATTTAGTAAATCTTGGCACTACAAGAGGGTTTCACAATACCAGTCATTCTTGTAGGAACGGTGAGGCCACAGACCATATTTTAGTTCTTGCGAACCACTGATGGTCCACGGACCACAGGTTGGGAACCACTGCTTTAGATATAGAGAAATTTTAAGCTATTAAATATTAGGATTTCAGAGCAATTTGCAACAAGGAAGAGTTACATATTTATTTATTTATTCTTTAATGTAGGAACAGATAATTTTGTAGATTTCTACCCATCTGCTGGGAAATATTGAGGGATTCAATTATTTTTAGCATTTGGAGAAATGGGAGTAACAAAATTATTCGTACAAAAAAAATTTGCATGGGAAATACTTGGCTTTCACTCACACACATACACACTCACACACCCTGCTGGTTTTGTGCAAAACCAGTGGTTCTTGCTTAAATGAGATTTTAACAAAATGTAAAAATCCTACAGGGTTAACAATGTTGAAACACTTCCCCCGTCAAGGAAAAGAAAATCTGTGAATATTATTTGCAACCTATTGTGAAGGATTTTTCTAAATCAGAGTTTAACCAATAAAATTATTGTTGTATAATAAGCATACTGCAGTAGTAGTCAGGAAATTGCTATCCTTTAGGATTAATTATTTGTTAGCTGCTCTATTATTTTGTGTTTATAAAAATGCATGTTTGCTATATGGGGAACAGAATCTGGGAAATAACATCTTGCCTACAAATAATTCCTCAAATCCAAAAGGGAAAGAAGATGTAGAAATCTTCAGTTCATAATTCATGCCCTTTACTATCCTATTTCAGAAAGCTTAGATCCTAACTTGATGTGAACTGCTGGGAAATATGGTCTGTTTGTAAATCATCTAGTATTCTCACAAAGTGAACTGCTGTTTCACAGTGTGGCACTAGAAACCATACAAGGATGCAAATGTAGAAAGACACAAAGCCAAACTGGAGGAAACTACAGCTGGATTTACACTGTCACATCATCCAGATTATCAATTCAGATAATCTGGATTAGCTGCTTTGAACTGGATTATATGAGTCTACACTTCCATATAATCCAGTTCAAAGAAGAAAAACTGGATTTTGTATGGCAGTGTAGTTGGGTCTTACAATAAAGAGTTGGAGCTAGTAACCACTTTTCCCAGCTTCCCGAGAAAGGTTTGGAATAAGAACATATCTCTTTTCTAAAATATTATTCTGCCTCATCTCAGGCCAGCACCAGAAAGCCAGTTAATGATGAGAAGTGTGCTGCTCTAGTAAAATTCCTTACTACTTGTATTATACACAGCGAGAATCAGGAAGATAGAGACAGACTAATATTACCTTTGGAGATGACACTTTAACATGGACGATAATAGGAGCTAAGGATGTCTTAATAAGTTGTGCTGGGTGATTGATTGTATCTGCATCTAGAACAACCAGTTGTAAAGATCGTGCCAATTCAAAAATTCGTTCTATTTCACTCTGCACTTCCGCTGCAAAAGGAAAAGGCAGAAATCATGATTGTGATATTGCAGGACAAACCAAAGTAATAATACTGTCAGTTCAAAAATATACAGTGTCTTACCATTACACAGAAAGATGTTACACATATGAAGTTTATTTGTCATTCTGGTTCCCATTATATACCTATCTAGTAAATACTGTATTTTATTTACTGATATAAGACAGTCAACAATGTGGTCTCATCCCTATGACTTTGGGTATTTTTAAAATGGTAGGCAGTCTACAAGAGACAAAGTTTGTGGCCACCACAGAAGTAGTTAGCCTCATTTTTATTTTTATTTTTTGCTTTGTACAATCATCAATTTCCACTGAGGGCAAAAACCATATTTCTTGTTACTGACAAGAGGGGGGAAGAGGACCAGTATCTTGCACACCAAGAGATTTTGTGGAGATTCTTGCAGTAGGCACATGAAGGTGTTTTATTCAGCAAGAGGTGAAGGCACGGCAAGATAATATAAAAACTTGCAAAACATCGGGTGAGAGATCTCTAAAGGAGAACCCTAAGGCAGAGAGGAATATGAGATCTTAAGGCAAATTCATGGCTTAATATCTGAAGTTGACATTCACCAACCATCAGCTTGCAAGAATGTACTTAGGACACTTGGCATAGCCCTTGTCCTGAAACTAAATGGATTGGTCAGTACCAGGATGGGAGACAGCTGGAAATTTTACACAGCACACAGATCTTTAAAAGACTTAACCTCTTACCTAAACTGGACCTGGTATTCGACCGCTCAATTATTGCCCTCTTGCTTGGATTATTTAGAACAGACCTCTTAGCAAGGGAAATGTCAGCTGTCACTCTAGTTATTGATATCCTACAAGAAAAAACATAGGAATAGAGCACAAGAGTTCATGTCAAAATATTGGGGTGGATTGCCATTTGGCATTTACATCATTATTAACTAAAGGAGTGCATCATTGTGGCGAAAAAAATCTAACAAATATTCATATGGAAGAACAAGGAGAAAACCAATAAATAGCCTTTTGTTAAATAATCAAAACCAACAGCCAGTCGGTGACACTAACAGACAAGAGAAGCAATGCACCAAAAATATTGTTTCTTAATCTTCCACAATGTATCTATTCTATTTAATCTTAGACATCATGTCTACCTTTTCTAATAAAATTATCAGAAACAATATCCATCTACAATGTCTAGGCCTGAGATCCCAGTCCAGAGATTTCTATCCACAAGCTAAGGACACAATCAAATCAGTAGTTTCATACTCCATCTGTTACTACTATCCGCTCAGAGGGACCAGGACTTTGTTATAAACTTTCAGTTGCCATGAATTTGTTTTCCTTCCATACAAAAACATGTTTGTTCTTACAGAGTTCCTAATTTCTTCTTTGCAAACGTAGAGGGGGGAAGTGCTCAGATCCAAGGCTTGCTGTGACTTGTCTCCATAATGCTGTATAAGCATCCCATTGCATGCCACAAATGTTGCTTCATTAGTTCCTCCTCAGTTTATATTTCTTGTGTTTCCTTGGTCATGGAACCTTAAAAGCTTCCCACTCCTGTCTTGTGAGGTGAATTGTCACCATTTTCCAAGTTATTTTTTTTAAGCAATCCAATACTGTTCATGTGAGGAAATACTTGAATATATACAGAGCATGAGGGTACTCTTGTTTGTCAAAAACACTAGTCTGAAGAGGAGAAAGAGGAATTCAGATCCATTTAGGGTGGCGTCTTGCTTCTTCTTCTTTTCTTTTATTTTTTTTTTTGTGTCCAAAAGATAGAACTGATACTCGTTGGGTTTTTTTGTGCTCCTCAGTATCTTCCACATATGATATAAAAATATACTCTACAAAGGGTTTATTCATAGCAACCCTTGACTTGCCATTGACAATTGCCATGGTTTCCTATAAGAAAACAATGACGTCCAGCTACCACAGTCATATGCTGTACTGAAAGACATCTGACAGCAGCAGTGACAGAACACCTGCTCTGTGTTCCACATTTAACATAAATGCTTGTTTTGAAAGCCATGCAACAAGCTGTGTGGAAATAAGATTATTCAGAAATTCAAGGGAAGGGAGAGCGAGGATGCTGATGAGAAACACCACCGATAAGATAGCTCAAAGATGTGATGCATTTACCTGCAACAGAAGCTTCACCCAACAAGTTCCTACATAACAACTTTCATCTTTGAAGAACTTATTCATGACACTTTTATTGTGCATACTGAAAAACTGAGTCACTGTTCTTATATTGGAAGATACTCAGCTGCATGTCTCTTTCCTCTGATCTGCGACTGAGCAAAAGAGTAAAGCACTCTGGACACAAGACTTTCTGGACAGACTCTCTAAACACAATCCCAACCACTCTACATAAGATCCTCTAAAAGGGCCTCATCAGGTGGGCAAAACTGCCCGTCATACAACACCTTCACTTCACTTGTGACCTAGAGCCCACTGGGTTCCATTCCACAACATCAATCTACTTGTGGCAAGTGGATTGACAGCATGGTAAACTGCTGTGATAGCAACACAGGAAGGTTTCCGTGTTGCATAGGCAACACCAGGGGGAAGCTGGGTAAAGAATGCCCCCCCCCCCAGGACGGGGTGAGGGGCAAAGCCAGTGATGCAAGGCATTGGGTGATGGATTCCCCACACCAGATTTGCCATGATGTGTGGCAAATCCTATCCTTAATGTGATGAGGTCCATAGTATAATCGCATTTGACCTGCTCAGGTACGTATTTATGATATGTATCTGGGTTTGGGTAATGCAGCACTAAGGCACAGACTGTCAATAATGCTCACCCAATATTTCTGAGCTTCCCCACAGCTCCACCAGAGGTGGAAAAAAAAACTCCCATGGGGAAGCTCAGAAATACTGAAAAGGTATCCACGAAGAAAGTCAACAAATCTTCAAAAAGAAATTCCCAATAAAACCAGAATATTACTTATTGGGAATTATGGATGGAGATATAAATCTGAACACAAATGAAGACATTTTATTTATGTACATGACAACAGCCGTTAGAATTATCTATGCAAAACAATGGAAGCAGAAAGAAACACCAGAGAAAGATCATTGGATAAAAAAGATAAATGAAATTAGAGACATGGACATGTTAACTTTTCTATTAAAAAGAAATACAGGCAATCCGGTAAAACAAACAAATTGGTCACTATTTGAGGATCATTTAGAAAGGAAATACAAGGACATGTAATTGTATTCAATTACAATTAAATAAAAATAAAGAAATTGATAATTATCTGTTGGGAAGAGTGAATAGACAATAAAGTGGAAAAACGAGCAGAATTAGAAGGAAGTCGCCGTGGTTTTTTCCTTTTTTAATTTTTTACACTTAATGGACTATGATTTTCCTTTTTTCATCTTATTTTTGTGTGTGGATGTTTTTTTATTATTCTTTCTATCTTATTTTCCTACTTTTCTATCTTCTTTATTATATTCCCCCACCTTCCATGTAACTATATACTTTTTTCAATAAAAAATGATTTTTAAAAAAAATAATGCTCACCCAAAACGTTATACTATATACCTAAACAGGAGAAAGCCTGAGCAAGCCCTCAGGTTCATCTGCTCCATCTTCCTCCCACAGAGTCATGTGAACTTGGACTGTTGCTGAATTTAGTTTTGATTTAAATAAAAGATGCATATCCCTAGATTTGAACTGGGGATTATTGTTGAAAACAAATTCTGGTCCATTTCAAAACATGAGGACTATAAATTCTGGATTATTTTTCTCTATTGTTTTAATTAGCCAGAGATGATATTAAATCGCAACACTTGCCTTGAAGTTAAGAACAAGCTAGCTTTGTGCGACTCAGCAGGAGACCTGTTCTCAGCAGCATATTAAGAAAGGGGATAGGAAAGCATAAAAGCAGAAAGCTTTTCCCGAAGTCATCCAACTCATGCATGCAGCACTAAAAATTGATTCAGCACTATGTGCAAACTTTCTCACTGAACCAATTGTACCAACAAAAGATCTGAAGGAATGAAATTAACAGGGCAGGGTTTAGTTAAACTTCTAGATCTATCTACCAGTAGAATTGTCTCCAGGGAGCTTTTAATATCACATTCTGAGAGCAACTTAATTTAATTTGCACCTTTTACAAGTGTTTCCCACATTAGAAAGTTGCCATGCAATTTAAAAGAGATATAAGAGCAAATGGCAAGTACATAGGGCCTTCTCCCTATAAACCAAAGTCAAAGTCTTAAAGATGGCTTACAATTATCAAGAAAATGATAAGGAGTTAACACAATAAAAATCCTATGGATAAAATTAGCAATATGTATAAAAGCAGCATATACCTAGAAAACTTGTTACTTCTTATTAATAGGCCTGGCAAACAGCTTAATGTCAAAAAGTCAGCCGTAGTGCCAGGTGAACATCCCAAGGAAAGAAATCCAAGTGACATATTGACCCCAGAGAGGAAGCAAGAAGCTATTGACTATACTCCCAAAGACTCAACCAATTAGTTCAAGTTGGCATTTTCTTGATCAGACCCAACTAGAGGATTTATTTAACCCAGTCTTTCTCAAATTGTGCTCTGCGAAGCCCTTCGGGCTCTACAAAGCACAGTCAAGGGCTCAGGGGTGGGGTTCACCCCTCTTTCTGCTCCCCCCTGCCTAAGAAGCACGAGGCCTCCCTTATGATGCCGACAGCACGGTCTATGAGGCTTCCCAGGCGCCGCTTTGACTATGATTTTCATGCAAGGCAGAAGCAAGTTGGACTGGGTGGCCCTGTATTGCTCCTATTATTATTATTATTATTATTATTATTATTATTATTATTATTATTATTGCAAAGGATGGATGGCCATCTGTTGGGGTATGTTGACTGTGATTTTCCTGCAAGTCAGGATGAATTACAACAGCTTTTGAAGCTCAAAAATAAACTTTCCTGTTCAAGCTATTTTGTGAAGCTGAAGACAAATGGAACATTTCAACTCTCTTTCTGTGTAGGTGTCTGGCAGTGTTTTGGGTATCTTCCCTTAAGGATACAGCCTTACCAGTAGCAGAATTTGGCAAAAAAACTTTATATGCATACTGTTCTATTATTAAAATAATGATCTGCAACAATTATCTGCAAATAGCAGCAATGTTCACAAACTTTTAAAAAATAGTTTAAACTTCCTAAAGGCCATCAATTCACAGTACGAAGCTACTGCTAACTGTTATAGAAAGCTTTGATTGTTGCACAGCAGGGCTCAAGATGTCATTAACAGCTAATGTGGTGTTAACATTTTTGCACCAGGAAGACATTTCACAGTTAGAACTGTTGGACTCCAGTGTATTCCTTCAACCATTCTGTAGAGAAAAAAATAGCTTTCCAGAATATAAATCCTTCTTTTCTTATATATTTGGGAATGCAAAGATGAATCATAACTAGAACTCATACATAGATGACACTTTCTTTAACTCTAGTTCTCCTAGAATTAGAAAGAGGACATATTTTGAAGTTTTCCATCTGGCCTTAGATAGACTGAAAGGATATCAGATTGAATTTACTCCCTCAACTATCACAATGGATTCCTTGATTTTGAGACTGATGTTTTTCCTCTGGCATGCTGCAAATGATAGGGCTTTCTCCTCAGATTCAGCTTTCTCTGAAATCTTCTTCCTGGTCAGTTGAAGACAGTTAAGATTGTCATAGTTGTCTCTTGTGGCATGTCCATTTCTTGAAGAACTGTTACATCTGCATCACTTTGGAGAGAAGCATTCCTAGAGAATCGTTTCCAGATTTGTTGTCTCCTGCCTTCAGTGATCTCAGCCAGTGATTGGATATTTCCTAAGTTCTGCTTTTGTCTCCATGGATCAACAGGCCACATTACTTTCAGCCGGGCTCTCTGAGCAATGATCTACAGTTCCTACATACCTGTTGGCCCATTCAGGCGTAAGTATAAGCAAACAAGAACCAACAGAATGTTAATAAATTACATGCCAGAGCAGATTTTTGAATCCTCATATAGGAACTGAGAGGTCAAAGAGTAAACCAATTAAGTCTGTAATGGTTTATTTGCTTTCAGCAGCAAGAGATTTATTGACAACTATCCAGCTATCTACACCAGACTTCTGTCACAAGTGAGTAGCCTCAAACAGAAGAAACCTTTTCACCTTTCACTTTAACAATAACTAAAATTTATATTTTAAAAAGCAATGGTTTCTAAATCTTACACATCACCGAACCATCCCCGCATTTTAGGATGTCTACACTCTCATGTATCTACTACTGTTATCAACTTCACCATCAGCCAGCATGCTCTTCACCCCTCTTCATTATTGTACACATTGATATAAACCAACCATCCAGAGTGCTCAAAGGACTTCGCATACATTGTCAAGTGATCCTTATTACTGCATAATGTTAACAATTAGATATAGTCCTCCATCCCCCACCCCATACCACTTTTGTTAAGATACTTTTAAGATTCTGAAATTTCTCTCCATAAACTCTGCCACTCTGATGTTATTGCCTCCGAAAAGAGGATGAGAGAGCATATAAGTACTTGGATGGGGCAATAAAAGGAATGCTTTCTGTTCAGGGTAGCAATCAAGTTACCATTCATGCCCTCTTCCTGAACACTCCATTCCATCTCCCTTACTTGGCATTTTTGCTCACTGAGTAGGTTCAGTTCACATTGAGATACTTCTGAATTCCCTTAACAGTATTTATTTTTAATGTCTATTTCTTCAAATGCCAGAGTTTCACCAATGTCCCTCTTGTGTGTGATGGTACAGCTGTGGTGACACAGAGAAGTATACATTTGCTATGATTATATATAAGATAAGCCCCTTCTAAAATGGTTTCCGCTGAGCACACATCAACTTTACAGCTTCTGTCTTCAGGGCAAGATATGTGTTTTCTGCATGCTTGGCTGGCTGAATATTCAGTGCTTGGATATACAGTATTTTGAAGCAAATCAAGGTCACTTGTTATTTTCTGGGCACTGTCTTCTCCAAACTACAGTTTAATTCCTCACTACTGAACACATATTGGCTGCGCTCAGCATTATATTCTGCACACCGTTTGAATTTTCTCTATTCCCGACAGATTCTCAAGTGTCAGATTGCAATTAGATTCATTTTGAGTTTCACATCCAGTTTTATAACCACATTAAATACAACAAGAATGTCTTGGCTGAAATTAATGCAACAATAAACAGTTTGATATCAATGTTTGAAGTTGTATGCTTTCCCGTGTCTTTTGAAGTAAATGTAGGAATTAATACTCCTTTTTCCTAGAATTACGAACTAGAGGAAGTGATATCCCAATTTTAAGTATGAGTCCCACCATTTCTGTGTCTGAAATATGAGTAAGAGCCACAAACATTAATAGATGAAGTAGGAATGTGCATTTGGTATCCTGGTTACCACAGTTCAGTGATAGCTGCAGGTATGTTGGTACTCATGACCTCAGATTTACCTTGGACTGGAGTGTGTGTTAACTACAGAGATGGTTCTCAGCCTTGGAGTGCAACACTAGCTACCAATAAGGCCCCAGGGATTTCTACTGTGGCTATTTAATAACTAGGAGTGGAAACAAAGGTGGGAAGTGACCAAGCAGTATCCAATGCAGCTGTAGTTGCAATAAGGGGAAAGAAATGAAGTAGCTCTCCCTAGATTTCCAAGAGTGCAACCACATTAACAACATGTGCACCCACATAAGCAGCAACCTAATGCAATATGACCCCCAAGAGATACATTCTAAGACCACTTGTAGATACCTGAAACCATAGGTAATAATGGAACCTATATTTAAATTATACTTGGTTCATAAAATACAATACAACACACACTGGAGGATCTAGCGATCTGGCCCAGAAACCATTCTAGGGAAAAACATTTTTGGAATGTAAGTGAAACTATGGATCCCAAATCCATGGATAAAGAGGTCATGCCGTGGATAAAGAGTTCATAACCAAAAATCAATTTACACTCATCCACATTTTTGAATCCTCAATTTTAAATGAAAGTGTGATCATTGGTTAAGAAGGGAACAAATATCAGGCCATGCAAAGAGCTAGCATTTCAGCCAATAGACTTACTGTTATGTGCGATACCCTTGCTTTCTTATACTTCCGTTCTATACTCTCATATTTTCTTGGGCTCGACAACTCTATTCTACACAGCATTCTCCTATTAGGCCATTATTCCTATGACCTCTATTTTCAGGAAGCCCAATAATAGTATCTGTTTTGAACACCATTTTGCATGATTTAAAATACTATGAACTAACAGTGTGAAAGGAACTGACTGGTAGTTCAAAGCAATATTAAACTTGTGGATTGCCAGAGAGGTGGCAGGACAGAAACACCAGTTTCTTAGACAGGATGCTACATTTATCAAGTCTAATCATCCATAATGTCCTGGTGTGTGAATTATATGGTCTTCAGGTATTGTTAAACTCTGATTCCCAGCAATCCTAATCTTGGCAATCCTGACTGATTCTGTCAAAATGTACAATCAAAGAATACAATCCACACCCTGATCCAGGTCAGATTTGACATGATTGCAAGATGCTCTCCAAAATCCCAGGCAGAGATCTATATCATTATCATTATCATTATTCCTGAGCCCAGGAATTTATGATCATTACATGAATGAAATTCGCAAGTCTTTCTAAATAAATATTTTCCTGTTGATTTTTCTACAAATTCCCATTATCTTCCAGTGACCAAAGCCTTTTATATTCTTGACATTATTGGATAACTGGGAGCTGGGAGCCCTTGGCAATCTACTGCAAATGATGCCCAGATTTACCAGCAGATCCTGATTTATCTGCTATCTACCTGTACAACACCATTGAGTAAACACTGCAATTCATTCAGACGTACGTGCCAGAGCAGAATCATTTAAAGCAGCAAGAAAAGTGGGGCAGGGTATGTGTGTGTGACATGAAAAAGAAGCTTATTCCTCACCTCCCATCAAACCTGTGCTTCAGGAAGTCAAACAGGGCTTTCTGCATCATGTCTGTCACCTTGCAGGGATGCGGAAGATGGAGGAAAGAAGATTGATAACAGAAAGAAAGAAGCCCAAGGTAAGAAAAGAAGTGGAAAGTAGGGGCATTGTGAACACTCAATGCCTTTTACATTTCAACCAAGATGCATTTATCAATTAAGATATTCTCTCTAGCTACGGAGGCGGAATACAATGCATTGCAACCCACATTTCTATGTTTTCTGACTCAGTTCAACACTTTCAGACAGAAGGCCACTAAATGTCACATGCTCCGCTTACCTCCTTTATACAAGAATGCTCAAAGTACTTGCCAAACTGTTTTGGCAAGACTCAGTCCCATTCCTGTCCCACACCAGTGCCTGTTAGAAAACTTAATAGAAGCAGGAAGGATTGCACCCCCACCCCCCTTAGTTTCATTCATGTTTAAACTGCAGGCTGGAGATGGGGGAAATTTATTTATTTTACACCTCACATCACTAGGCTGTATAAATCATCATTTGAAGGCGCTTGCTCTTTTTAAAAGATGTACTTACTTACACTTTTCTGGGATTCTGACAAGCACACAGCATCAGCTCTCACTGGAATGCTTTAGATTTCTTAATTTAGCTTTCTCAAAGTTCCATTTGTTGAATATTTTTGCACCACCCATGAAGTTCTATACTGAGATGCAGTGCAGAATTCAATTTAATCAAACCAGAGAAAGGTTTGTTACTTATGTGTACAAATTTTCTGGAAATGAAGCCTGTTATTGTGTCTTTGTATCATTACAGTCTACATAGGGATAACTTTTTATCTTCCCATCAGCCCTATAAAACAGGCTAAGCTACAAATCCAAAACAAGGTTTTATCCTTGTTTTAGAAAATAAAATTACTGTATTTTGTTTTGAGACAATACTCCCAATATGATATTAAAGGCGCAAGTATAATTTTACATATTACAATGCATAAAATCAGGGCTTTTTTAAAGTAAAAGCAAAGTTTCTTGTCACGCATTTCTTCTACAGGTCTACTGACAAATTACAGAAACAAACCTTAGCAAATGACTGAGCACATCAACTCTACACCTCGTGTTCAACTTTCCTGCAATTCGCACCCTGACGAACTGTCTGCTTGTGCATTCACAGCAACACACATCCATTCTTTTCTCTCATTAATCTGGATTTGCCTCATTCCCCAAACTGACTTTTAAAAAATCAAGTGAGAGGTTTTAAAAGGTGCAAAGTCTTAAAATAAACCCACAGAAACCAAGTGGTATTTAAAAGACAGATGTTAATCTCTTAACGAAAATAATTTTGCAGAGAGGATAATGAGAATGCCAGTATTCATTTGCCAACATTGCAAATCTGATACTTCTCAGCAAGATGTTTAATCCCTTTCTCTGAGTCCTCTGGTTTATTTGGAAATATCAGCTTTGTGGATAAGAAAGGTCTCTATATGATATTGCTAATAATATGGATCAAGGCAGAGATATTGGAAAAGCAGAGAGGGGATTAACAGATATGATCAGCCCTGATCCAACTCCATAAAATATCATCCTGGGATAAAGGATGTGAGTTCAAGAATACATGCTGGTGGGGGGGGGGGGGGGTTTAACTATGCTACAATTCAGCAAAAACTTTTGAAAAATATTTGGCATGGCAAGAGTTGTCACCAATAGGGGGAAAGTGTAACCTGTAAGAAAGACTCCTTTTTCCCTCTGCTTAAACCTTCCATAAATGTTTTTTTTTTCCTTTTCTTAGAAAGACAGTAGACACTTATGGAGATGTGTGTTTTAATTCTTGACCTCCATATTTCCCTTCAGGCAGAACTAGAGGCTATGAGCAAAACGTAAGAGTGTCATTCCGTATTTCCTTTGTTAAGTGAATGCAGAAAGTGACATATACAGGGGGTAAATGAAGATAGGGTGAATTCCTTGCCTGATCACTGTGCCTTGTATATACTTTCCTGGAAGGTTCAGTGGATATTTGCCTGCCAGTAGCCTTCTGAAACCAAACACAAGCCTGGCTTTGTGGGAAGGGTGGCAATTTCAATGAACACATCTCTTCCATGCCTGCCAATGCCCTGCAACAAATACTTTCCTTTCCTCTCCCTCACTGCACCCAATAGATATGCCAATGTGAATTTGGGATGACACCAGCCCCACTGGTACCATTCTAGTTACAAACACCTTCACCATTTCCTACTGTATCAGAGGCCTATAAGACATTCATATTCAATCCCCATCTTCCTTCTGTTTTTTTTTCTTTCTTTCATGGTAATTTCCCTGCTTTCTTGTTGATACTGAGAACTGTGTGTATTTATATTTATTTGTGTGGAGAGAAAGGCACAGATACATTTAGTTTTCAAAGGAGCTATGCTTTGACCCACTGATGACAGTCAACTCGCATTTCAATAGTTCCTGTTTTCAGCAAACACTGCCAACATGCTTTTGGCCTTTACATGTGGATCAAAAATGATTCATTATCATTTAGCTAAATCAGTTTGCATTATACCATGTTCTGTTTAATTTAGGGGTTTTCAAGGAAAATGAGTTTATAGCACTACAAATCTGTTATGATTACTGATTCATTTGTAGGGAATCCAAAGCTTTCCCTGCTGCTCAGTTGCACATCGCTTTCATGGCTTACAATGTTGTTCAATGATACTGCTCTTTCTGCTCATGGCTTTGCCGTAAGGCTAGTAAATACTCTCCCCATTGCTCATGTTGCTTTCTGCACCCAACTAATCACCTCTGGATAATAATTAAAGGACAAATTAGGGAGAGACTATTCCCTTCTCTCTAATACATTGTCATATTATAAATGTCTTCCTTTGAAAGGGAAGGAAAAATCTTTTGAAGGGATAGTGTTTCTTCTGTCCAGTGTGTATGTGCTCAACTTCTCAAAGAGTTGTCTTATTTTTTAAAAAAGGAAAGGGGAGGGAAGCTAAATCCAATTCAGTTCTGAGACCCGCTGAACCAATCGTAAATTGTTAATTCAGCACTTTCGTAATTCAGCTCCATTGATTCAGTTGGTCTATTCTGTGTAACACTAATTGTCAGATTTCAATTTAAGACTTCAATCACAACATAGCAGTTCAATCCATCAACATCCGTTAGGCATTGGATGGATGTTGGATTCTTTGCCTGTAAGTAGAAATACTCCCAAAAATGAACACATTGTCTGGTAAGTGCTTAAAGCAAATGCAAGCTGCCATAATCAAATCACAAAAGGGTTAGAATCTGCTTCAAATATTTTAGAAGAGTAGAAGTCTCTTTTCTTTACTAACAGGATTGCTTACCTCATAACCTTTTAATGAGGGGCCAACCAGCACAACAGGCCGCATGGATGGTACTACATCATAGGGAGGCACATGCTCTGTCTGAAAGAGAGGACGGCATGCTCAATAAGTGCCTACTCTTGAACAGTCGCACTATTTAATTTCTAGGAAAGTAGAGAATGGAGTTGGTCTACTTACCACTTTCTGTTTCTGCTTTGCTGAAAAAATTAAAATGATTAAATATTACTTTATTTAATCATACAGAAATCACACAAGCACACACTAAATATAGTTTTTAACTCTTTTTATTGATGTGAAATATGTTTTATTGGTCTTTTATTGTGATTTTTTACATGACTGAATGTTTTATACTATTTATCTGTATTGTTTAGTTTATTGTTTTTTTTCTGACATTGAATGTTTGCCTTTTATGTTGTAAGCCGCTCTGAGTCTCCATGGGGAGATGGGACAGGATATAAATACATGTATTGTTGAAGGCTTTCATGGCCGGAATCACTGGGTTGTTGTAGGTTTTTGGGCTGTATGGCTGTGTTCTTGAAGCATTATCTTCTGACGTTTAACCTGCATCTATAGCAGGCATCCTCAGAGGTTGATTGATTAATAAATATGCAATGCTTAACCTAACCACAGACAAAATAATTTGAAAACGAAATTTGTGTCCACACTGTAGAATTAATGTAGTTTGATGCCACTTTAACTGCCATGGGTCAGTAGTATGGAATCAGAGGAGTTGTAATTTGGTTAGGTACAAGCACTCCATGGCAAAAAAGGTAAAATACCTTGCAAAACTACAACTGCCATGATTCCATAGCACTGAGGCATGGCAGTTAAAGTAGAGCCAAACTGCATTCATTCTGCAGTGTAGGTGCAGCCAGTAAAAAACAAAAATTGAACCTGAACATCTCTGAGTTCTCCTGAAGGAGAGGTGCAGTTCTAATGCTCTCAATTAATAGCATACTCAAGATCTCACCTTTTACACACAAATCACAACAAATCTCCATCCATTTAGAACAAGCATCCTCAAACAGCTTATACAATGGTCATAAATTCTGGGACTTGGAGGCCCAAACAGCTGGAGGGCTGCAGTTTGAGGGTGCCCAATATAGAACCTCAACTATGCTGCTCTCTGAATTTTCTCACAGCCAAATGGCAGCTGCTTCTCTGTGGACACATTCCGTGCAATTAGGATAAAAATGGTCCAGTCAGGTAGAATGGAGTGCACTAATCCACAGAATCAGATTTCAATAGAGAAGATCCACATAATTCACTGCCCTTCCACAAGACTGAGTCCCTTAGATATAGCCGTGATAAAATTCCATGTATTCATAGAGAAATCTGACTTCCTTATAGCACTGAAAAAACTGGTAGGTTTTCTTCCATCTATTTTCAAATATTTTAAATTTTATGGGCCTTTTATTCTGAATATAAGGAAATTATCTCTTCTTTTTTTTAAAAAAAAAAAATCAAAACCAAACTGAAAAGAAATGGTCCTCAATTTACACTAGCTACATTCAAGTGATTTGGCTATTTCCAGAGGGACAACAAATGTATTTTATCAGAATGCTATTCAGCTGTTAAAACCTCTCTGAAAAAAATTGGCTGCAATTTGGAAGAATCACAAGCTTGAACCTGTTTCATAGCTAAAAACACAGCAAAAGATCTTAAATATTTGGTTTCAGCACCAGATTACAGCTTTGGAGACCAGAATGTAAATCCCCACCAACCATAGAAAGCCATTGTGTGATCTTAGACAAGCCAAACTCTTTCATCCCCAGAGTGAGGTAAAGAGAAATCTCCTCTAAACACCGTGCCAAGAAATCTCTGTGATCAGGTCCCCTTAAGTCACCATAACAGTAGCAACTCTAATTTAGTCTGTATACAAAGGTTCAAGTCTAAACTTTGAAGAATTTATCATTTCAAGCCTAATGTCTAGATCACCGCTTCTTAAACTTTTCTGCTCATGACCTCTTTCAGCCCAATAATTTTTTATGTGACCTCAGATATATAGGTGTATACAGTAGGTATAAAAACACAACATTTATTGATAACAAACCAGCATTGGCAGGGCTTTCTAAACAGGATAATTTTCCGTTTTATGAAGTACAGCTGAAGTATCTTCTGCAGAGTCACTGTAAGAGTTGCACTACAGATTCGGGCAAATGTACAGTCACGTTATTAAAAACAGCAATTTGTTAAACAGCCACGTGACATTCAAAAAGCTTTTACTGTTTCCAAAGTTTTAGGGACCCCAACATTGAGCTAAGAGGGTCCTGTTTGGTGTTAGAACTCACAGTTTAAGGAGCAGTGGTCTAGATGACTATTCAGTTTTTGTTTCTCCCATGTTCATATGTTTAATATGCCTAGTTTGAAAATGAATATATTAGGAAAGCTGGGCTAAAGTGTTATGAGATACACACAAAACAACACTCTAAGCCATTTTGAGCTTCTGTCTTTTCACAAGAATTTAACACAAGTCCCACTACCCTAATTGGAACTTTATAACCAAGAGAGTGCAGTGGAGTTGTGCCCTACCTCACAATTAAAATTTCTTTAAGAATGGAAACAATTTATTTTAAGGCAGAGGACAACTCACCAGTGGAAGTAGGAGTAGCTCGAAATGTACCAGACACCATTTCTCCGAGGCTTGAAGACGAATTCCCACTTGATTTCCTATGACGTAAAGAATCCCCATGACATTTAGAGACTTGGAGGAATTAAGATCAAACCCAATATACCTTCAGCAATGTTCCAAAATTTTGATCGAACAACCACAAACATCTAAAAACTCTATCTATTCCTTAAGGGTAAAATATCAAACTTGATAAAAATGCCTAATGGACAGTAACTTGGACAGACTATGGGGGAATTCCCAAAACTATTTAGTACACTAACTATAACAGGCAAGGGCAAACTTCAGCCCTCCAGGTGTTTTGAATTCAATTCCCAGAAATCCCAGCCAGCTTACAGCTGTTAGAAATTGTGGGAGTTGATGTCCAAAACACCTGGAGGGCCAAAGTTTGTCCATGCCTGAATTATAATATAACTGCAAGACATGAAAAGACAGAGTTTCCTCTCTTCTATTCTTCAAAGTGCTTCACTATGGTTCCATAGGTGATCCAATGACAGGTAAGGTATAATTGGTAAGATAGGTCACAATTCTGTTTGCTTCTAGTTATTCAGACATGGACACGTCTCTGTACAGCCAACAAACAACTCTATTTTGTTATAACTCAAATGACTGGCTTTCTGGCTCTAGACTTTTCCAAATGTTTCTTTCCATGCCTTCACCCCCAACTATGACTCTGTGTGAAAAGATTGTTCAACAGAACTTGAAGTTTTAAAAAAATCCATCTATTTTAAACCAGCTCCAATGCTATTGCCCAACTTATATCCATTTTAGTTCTGTAGACAAGACTGGAGATTGCCAGTGGCTTCTGATCAGTGGGCAAGTGAAGATTTTAGTATTACTTCCACCTAAGGTACTATCCAAAACCACTAAATATTTCCTTCCTACACTATTTTATTGTTGTACAACCAACCCATGCAATCCAGTAAGAAAAAAATGTGGATAAATTGCTTTGACTGTGAAGTATATTCAACACATTCAAAATGCTGGAAAACCAAGACCATGTGGAAAGTCTCTGCAAATAAAGATTTTCTTTGAAAAATCACTCTCTGCATGGATACAGTGATATAAATAGTGACTATAGAGAATAAGGTTGATACACATATTATTTTCCATATGTCTACAGGGTTTGAAATCATGTGGCTCTCTTGAAGTTGCTGGACTGCAGCTCCCAGTGGTCTTTGCCATTGATATACTGACTAGGGCTTTGAAAAGTTGCAGCCAACGATGTCTAATAACTATATATATGATTCACTAATTCCTGTGTGATCACAGAATCACAGAGTTGGAAGCAGCTACAAAGGCCATCCTGGGTGGTGCTTCCTTTGATCTAGACCCTATTCTCCTATTGATATGGTATTGAAACAGTTTTTTAATTGCCTCATCACAGTGTTCACAAATGTTCTGATGGGTCAGAAAAAAACAAAAGCCACATTTTGAGAACAATGTGATACAAGCAACTAATTTTCAAGGTGAAGGACACTAATAATTTAGAAGCCATGCCAACAACTATTACAAACATCCAATCTTACCCGCCATGGAAACGCCCTCTCTTCTGCTCCTGTTGAATCCGAATGTTCTCCAACCTCAGTGGGCTTGGGATGAAGCCAATCTCACAGCCTTCTTTAACTAATCTTCCTATCCACCAGTCATTGTTATATTTCTGTAACACAGAGGTCATTAATTTGAATCTTTCAATCTCACTTCCATTCACTATGCATGTGCCTTCTACTGATGGCTCTTTCCACAAATACCGTTAATTCATAAAAGCCATTTATCTGTTCTCTAGATAAATCTTACAACACTTTAAATCAGAGGCAAGGAATTACTAGTGCTTAGGAATGGTGGAAGCTCTGACATCTGAAGAGCCATGGGCACCCCACTTCTACTTCAAATACACCATCCACTAATGATATCAGGAAAGGGCCAGGAGTGAATATGGAGTAGTTTTTGGGGTGCTGAATAGAAGGAATTGCTTGAAGTGTGATTGTATATCTCAAAATTTAAGACCCGTCGCAAACTCTGTTCCTGCGGGAGCAAACCTTGCTAGCACGTCCCTGACGTCATGAGACTCCGCCTCTTGCCCCGCCCCTTTCTCCGCCTCTTTCTCCTTGCGAGAGTGGTTTTTCCTTTGCTAGGGCAGCATTGCCAGCATACTCTCTCAGTTGGCAGAATTCAACTGAGAGAAAATGCGGGCAATGCTGCCCTAGCAAAGGAAAAACCACGCTGGCAAAGAGAAAGGGGCGGAGAAAGGGGCGGGGAGAGAGGCGCAGGCTCATGACGTCAGGGACGTGCTAGCAAGGTTTGCTCCCGCAGGAACAGAGTTTGCGACGGCTCTAACAGTAATCCTATAGTCCAAGAGAAAAGATTCACTGATACATTAGATTATCAAATACAGTGAGAATTTTGCATGATGCCAACTCTAAATCATAATGAAGTTCTCATCCATGTCAAGGTACTACTCTTCTGCTTGGAAGGTACTATTTCCTCTTCTCGATTCCAAGATCTTGGATGAGTTCCTTATAGCCTTGGGCATTAGTATAGAATCACTATCCTTTTCTGTTTATTTCATTCATAAGGCCCCTTTTTCATTTTTGAGTGCCTCTCCTGAAAACGGGTACCTTTCCAAACGAGCTTTTTTGTTTCAAATCTGAGAGAACAAAAAAAAAATTGGACCATTGGCCAACAGGGGTGGACTTACCAGGCTCTCTTCCCCTCAGTTTTAGGGCTAGAGGGGTGAAAATTGTCACACATGGAAGGTACATTTACTACTCTTACCCCACCAAGGTTTGTAATGTTTGGGTCATCCCCTGAATTTTAGCATTTTTTTCTTTCTATAAATAAAATCTCCTTAAAAACATTCCCTCTTTCCGTCCGCTGGCCCCGCCCTCTAACTTCTTCGCTCACTTCTTCTTTAACTGGTGGTAATGGGGGAGAGGGGGGAGAGAATTCCTCTTCCCATCATTTTTGGCAATGGTATGGTTTGTCAAGGATCTTGGGTCCTTGATTGCTTCTGTTGCTGCTGCACTCCTTTGTCTCTCATGCATGGAAAGTGCCTCAAACCCCTCTCCTCTTTCTCTTTCGCACCTCTTACCCTCTCCTCCTCCCTTCTCTTCGGCTCTTGGAGCTGCCACTGGCACCTTGGGGCATTGCTGCTGATGCCTGGCTTACAGTAATAAGCACAAAGGAGGATGGTGTAGGCTGGAGGAGGCACCTTCCTTGCATGAGAGACAAAAGCAGCACTACAGCAATAGCAACGAATGACCCAAGGCAGCAGCTTCAAGAGCTAAGGAGGAGGGAGGAGGAGCCATGCACTCTCCAAGGCATTTTAAGGAGATAAGAAAGACTGATGGCCTCCTGGAGGAGGAGAGTAAATGAGGGTTTAATTTTTAGGTTCTTGTGGGTTTTTTCGGGCTATAGAGCCATGTTCTAGAGACATTTCTCCTGACGTTGCGCCTGCATCTATGGCAAGCATCCTCAGAGGTAGTGAGGTGAGGTTTAATTTTTGTTTGCTGGGGGATTAAAAGAAAGGATGAAAATGTGCTCACGAAAAGCAGGCAAGGAAATGGTACCCGCTCCTTTCTTTCATTTTGAGCTAATTTTCATTCTGAGGGAGGGGGAGTGTTCTCGTTTCATGCTCCGGCCCAAAAGAGAGGAACAAAAGAATGAATGAAACAAGAGAAACAAGTACCGCACACACCTCTAGTTTCTTATATACATTCATTGAAGGCAAGTAAGAAAGTACACACACACACACATATATATATTTAACAATTAGTCTACTGTAGTATTGCAACATCACATTCTAGGTACCTGGGCCTTCTTCTCCCCAAGAACAAAATCAGAATAGAACTTCTTTTTTGGCTTCCAGCAAAGAACAGATCTGTGCAATAACCTTGTTTCAGTTACAAAACCAAGCCCACTTCCTGTTCTGATTTTTTTAAGTATGCGAAATTTCAGATGAACACTTGGTGCTTTGTAATACATATAAACAAATTGCATCAAAAGCAATCCCACAGTAGAGAACCCATGGGAAATACTGGCACAAAAGAGAATATGTTGTCTCCAGAACCCGTATGCATACAATGTGAGAGTGAGGAAAATAGAATTCCCCTATACTTGCCCCAGATTATTCAAATGCAAGTACATGGCCAAAGTAAACATTAACAGTTCTTTATTTCTCAATTGTTGTACATAAGCTCTACTTTGCCTCTGTAGTAACCCCTTTTCTATATTTGCATGAGAAGGGCAGCTTTTCTTCTTCTGATACTTTCTCTGACAAAGGAAATCAGAACCATCACACTACAAAAGGCAGAAAGCTACCAACATCAAAGTTGTTGTTTTTTTAAAGAAACCCAAGAATCATTTGAAACATCCAGTAGCAATGCTTGGAAAATCGCCCATGTTGGCAGGGAGCTCCTAGCAGTGATCGTCCCAAGAAAGGAATTGTTCCAAGCTCCGTGCAACACCTAGGACTTGACTGGAGTTGCCATAAGGAATAAAATCCATTAATAGATAGAGTGGGTGTTTATGGCAGTGTTTAATGACATCTGTCAATTTGATTACTACATAGCTTTTTTTTTAAAAGGTAAAATACCTATTGTCTTTCAAAGTTGATTTACAAAGATCCTGCAAGGTTGCAGTGTTCCCTCGCTACTTTTCACTGACTCGCTGTTTTGTGGGTTTTTCCCTCCTCAGTCCTCCCTCCAGCCTTGAAGGCTCTTTCCTTCCTTTCCTTTGCTCTCTTGCTCTTCAGCCAGCAAACGGAAAGGCAAGGAGGGCCTTCCTTCCTTCCTTCCTTCCTTCCTTCCTTCCTTCCTTCCTTCCTTCCTTCCTTCCTTCCTTCCTTCCCTGACAGCCACTGCAATGAAAGGGAGGCGCGTGGGGGGAGCCGTGGGGAGGGGAGAGAGTAGGAGGAAGAGGAAGAGGAGGAGAAGAAGGCATAGAAGGCATGTGAGAGCGGGGAAGGAAGAGGGGAAGAGGAGGAGAGGGAGGAGGGGGAGCCAGACACGCGAGGAGGAGCCAGCGACGGGTATGGTGTGCAAGGGGAGGGGGAAAGAGGAGAGGAAAGAGAAGGCAAAGGGATTGACTGAGAGAGGGGGGAAGGGGGAGAGAKGAGTGAGGGGAGCATCCCTACTTCGTGGATTTTCACTTATCGCGGGTGGCCCTGTAACTTAACACCYGTGATAAGTGAGGGAACACTGCACTCATATTGCAAAGCATCTTCTATATGTTCTTCCAGGCCTATCCAAATCTTTAGCTTAACTGGACAAAGAACATGTGGCTTCTTCTGGTAGCCTGAAATGCTTCTGCACTGCCAATAAAAATGCACAATACACGTTGTCCAATGAATGACAAATGAGACAGCTGGAATCTGGAGTCATCCATTCTTGCTGACATTTCAGCTCCTTGACAAAATGACCTTGCCTGAGGCTCAAGCTAGATGTGAAATGCAGCTCATCCACCAAGGTTTCTTTTATTATCTATATCTTTTAAGATCTATTTCTCAATTAGATCTTAAAAGATATAGATAATAAATGAATCTTAGGTACAGGCAAAGAGAGGTGGCTTGACCATTTTCCCATCTATACCCAGCTGCTATTACACATAAGGGGACTCCTCATGTACTCCACGTGTCCAATACAGGTTTCCCAAGCTTTGAGAAAGAATTCCAAGTCCATCTCTTCCCAAGTCTTACACATTTTATTTGTCTTACATATTACATTTATTTGGTTAGGAACAAATCCATGGGTATCAAGCTGCTGTAGCACAGCTGATATTCTATTAAAAACAACCATTCATATAAAGCAAGGGGGGGGGGGTAACTTGTGGCCCTCTGAATGCGGCTATCTAAACAGCAGATCCCACCAATCCTATCTAGCACAGTTAATAGTAGGAAATGATGGGAGCTGTAGTCCAACATCATAAGGGCCACAATCCACTCACCCCAATATAATATCTGCAATACAGACCATTGAGAGAACACATAAGAGCAGTTCTGGTGCCACTGGAAGCTCAGGGGAGGAGCAAGTACCACCTTTTTTTGTAACTAGGAGTGAGAATGCCTACCAAGAATTAGAAAAAGTTGCATTTTCTGGATTGCAAGTTTCTGATGTCCCTTCTATAGATCAGCAGAACTGCTGGAAGTTTAGTCAAAAACAACATTCCACCTTAGAGGCTGGTCATGGGGATGATGAGGGCATGGTTTGCCTGTCTGGACTCTACGGATTCCTTTACCATATCCAGACATGCATGGAGATGCCATCCAACTAAGTCATTTTCATCATGTTGCAATGTCTCCTGCTATTCAATCTATTTCAGCCATGATAGCCATACACCCCAAGAGTGCACTACTGTACCACAGTTGAAGGCAAGGATGGGCAATCAGTAGCCTTTCCAATGTAATTTAATGATAATCCCTTCAGCCTTATCTGACATAACTAAAGTGGAGGGATGAGAAGAGCTCCAATCCAACTACATTCCTGGTTTTTGGTTTAGACTTTTAAGACACTCTTTTAACAAATATGACTGGGTTTCTAATCCAGTGCTATGCTCCATACAACACTGGCCCCTTTGAAGCTTCCATTTTGTAATGTGTACAGCTCAAAGTTAGCTGTTCAGGATCAAGCTATCAAAAGATAAGAAGAATAATTACATTTATGTAGTTACCTCTTTAATGTGTAGAAAATCCTTAGCATCAAAAGAGATAGCGGTGCTAGGCACAGGAACATCTTCATCCAGCGCTCCGCAGTAGCTGACATTAGTCTTCACAGCAAATGCTACAGGTTTTGACTGGAAACAGAAATATGCTGTTGTTACTAGATAGGATCTGCAACAGGCAGAAACCAATCGTGTCAACAAGGGGAAAGGAGACACATCACAATCACAAGGTATATGTAACAGTGTCAGATGATAGTTCCCATAATTTTGGATAACAAAGTTTTAATCTAAACTTTAAAGGAGTTTTTCAAGGTGCTGAACCTGTTTTGCTCCTTGAATATTAGAACTCAAATGCAAGACTTAGGCAGAAAAAATGAAATGCAAAGATACAGAATGGGGGACTCCTGGCTCAACAGCAGTACATGTGAAAAGGATCTTGGAGTCCTTGTGGACAACAAGTTAAACATGAGCCAACAATGTGATGCTGCAGCTTAAAAAAGCCAATGGGATTTTGGCCTGCATCAATAGGAGTATAGTGTCTAGATCCAGGGAAGTCATGCCACCCCTCTATTCTGCCTTGGTTAGACCACATCTGGAATAGTGTGTCCAATTCTGGGCACCACAACTGAAGAAAGATATTGACAAGCTGGAATGTGAACAGAGGAAGGCAACTAAAATGATCAAGGGTCTGGAGAACAAGCCCTATGAGGAGCGGCTTAAAGAGCTGGGCATGTTTAGCCTGAAGAAGAGAAGGCTGAGAGGAGACATGATAGCCATGTATAAATATGTAAGAGGAAGTCATAGGGAGGAAGAAGTAAGCTTGTTTTCTGTTGCCCTGGAGACTAGGACGCAGTACAATGGCTTCAAACTACAGGAAAGGAGATTCCATCTGAACATTAGGAAGAACTTTCTGACTGTGAGAGCTGTTCAGCAGTGGAACTCTTTGCCCCAATGTGTGGTGGAGGCTCCTTCTTTGGAGGCTTTTAAATAGAAGTTGGGTGGCCATCTGTCGAGAATGCTTTGAATATGATTGTCCTGCTTCTTGGCAGGGGGTTGGACTGGATGGCCCACGAGTCCAACTTTATGATTCTATGATTCTAGCCAAATTTCTAGTTCAATTTTCATAAATATACTGCAACCCCTGGAAACTATTAATCCTACTTCCACCCCATTCTGACCACCTTCACCACTATTACCATCTCTGACTGGAAAGATAGTGTGCTTTCTGACATTTCAAAACTTTTCCTAACACATTTTTTTTACGATAACAAAAAATAAGATGGAAGAAGTGATAGGAAAGTGTTGGGAAACCAAAGACAGATTAAACATGCTACATAGGAGCTGGACTCTGTCCTGCAATCCCGAAGTTCTGTATTTAAGGAAGAAGTAGGCACTGGGATGGAGGTCAAGGGCCAATTTCCCACACTAGGCTCACCCTCTGTTGAGGGTCATCCAATACATACACACAAGCTCAAATACTCCCATTTGCCCCTGCAGTCCCTTCCAAAATGGTCATGTGGCGCCACGTCACTTCTTGTGTCCATTTTGAGAGTAAGTGCAGATGAAATCGTAGTTATTTTGGGTTGTATGGGTTTCTGCTATTAATGAACTGCCATGTTTTGTGGTGTATACATGGTTTGAGCGCAAAACGTGCCATAAAATTGTAACTTTTTTTAAAATTTGGGGATATGATTGGGGAGCTTTGGGAAGGCTTCAGGGAGTCCAAAAGTGGGGAACCATGGTCCATAAATTATAGACCGTAATGCAAACACCCATGGTTTACAATATGAGTGAATGCAGAATGAAAACCTCATCCAAAAAAAGAACCAATGGGTTGGGGGGGGGGGGGATGAGAGAGATACCTTTGCTCTTTCAAGCTGGATAGCCGCTTGCTGTTCTCTTTCCTGGCGGATTGCTTCCCTGTCCTCCTCCAGAGAGACATCAGAATCTGATGGTCTGCTTGTGTACGAATCTGCTGATCCCTAGAAAGAAAAGACTTCATTAACAGAAATGATGGATGGAGTACAGAAAGAAGCTAAATATGCAGGTTGGTGGAAAACAAACCCCAAGGTCATGGATGTATTTTTAACCAAGTTTTATTTATTTTTCCGATCAACAAGTCCCTTTGCAGAAGTTGTTTTAGGGCTGTCTTTCTTCTCTGTTTAAGGAAAAGAACCCAAACATTGAAGGTTGTCTTTCTGACAGATCTTTTTATTGTATTGCCCTTTTGTATATATGCTTTGCAAAGCTAGCAGGATCAGATACTGAGCAGCAACCTATTACGAGACTGAAATCATGTTAAATACTAAAGAGTATGGACCATCACTCTGTTGAAAGGCTACATAGCTGCAAATTCAATAGGAGCAAAAGACTTTTCAATAAAATTCTTCTCTGAGTAAATTGTGTTATTACTATATTTGCAGATAAAGCATTCAGAGAATTAATTATGTGCATATTACTGTATTTGCTGCCACCTCCACTGTTGCCCAACTTTTATTTTAAAAAAGTTCCCTGTAGGCATTTGTACATACAATTGTGCTCCTCTATAGTCAGCTTCTGGCAGAAACAACAACAACAACAACAACAACAACAACTAGCTGTACCCGCCATGCATTGCTGTGGCCGACCTTCCCTCCCTCTTTCTCTCCTTCTTTCTTTCTCTCCTTCCTTCCTTTTTTCTTTTCTTCTCTCCTTCCTTCTCTTACTCTTTCTCTTCCTCTTCTCTCACTCCCTCACAGTGTAAGACAGAATGTGTTTTCTTTTCAGAAAGGAAGATGGTTTGGGAAGAGTTTCATAGTGTGGTGTGACGGTGAAATACTGAGAAGTCCAGGTTGTCCATTGGTCACCCTTATACAAAAATAAAATCATTCCTATCTGTCAGGATGATGCCATCGCTCCAGAACTGGCTATTTTTAGAGGGAAGTGGAATGGCACCCTCTTTGTTTTGCTACTGCATGATCGAAGAGAAGAGTATCTTGGTGTCATAAAATCAAGCTCCTGTCAAGGGTTTCCCTTGGGCAGAGAAGATTTGCACAGAAGCATCAGAGCTCTACAATAGTGAATATTGGTCCAAATGGGTTCCCGAGATAACAGCTGATTAATTAATGTCTGCAAAACACTTTGAAGATATAAAGGCCTATAAAAATGCCAGATATTATTGCTACTATTTTCCCGGCTACCTACACTCAATGACAGCCAAAAGAAAAATTACAACCTGGAGACAATAAATCAAAGGGCATAATAAACATGTATAATATATAGTGCAAGGGCACTGGCTTTGTTCCTAGCTGTTGCTACACTATATACGCAGGAATGCATCAGATATGGGGAAGGGGCAAGGACGATTCCTCACATCCCTCTAGGCCCCCCTGTCCTATCTTGGCTCAAGATTCACAACATATTTAAGAAGAGAGTGTATAAATGCACATCTAACCATGGGTCAAGTGATTTTGTCTTTTATATTTCAGCCTTTTCCTGGGGGAAAGGGAGCTTTTTAGACAATAGAAAGGCAGCATCTCAATCCGTGTCCTTAATCTCACAGACATTACCAAATTGCTGCAGGCACTTCAGCTGCTCTTTCTCTTTCCAGGAACAGGCATGCCTCTCCAATCATAGTGCATTAAAAAAAGCCTGCTGTCGGCTAGAAGGTAAATCCAAGGCATATTTAAGACACACACAGTTCGGGGAGTTAAAGCTGCTTTCTGAAAGTACATCTTATTCCTCTGTATGATCCTTAGGACAGCCAGAGTGGTTTGAACACTGGACTATGAATCTGGAGACCAGTTGTCAAATCCCCTAAAGCCAGGGAAATCTTCAAGCTGAAACCCACTCTTTCAGCTGCAGAGGAAGGCAAAGGCAACTCCCTACTGAACAAATCTTGCCAAGAAAATCCCATGGTACGTTCAACTATAATTTAGAAACAATTTGGAGACATGCATCACCACCACCACCAACAATGATCCTTAGGATTCCAAAAACAAAGAGGGAGCTCCTTCTTGAAAAGATAAGGCCAAAGCCAATGCCATCGTACAAAGGTTGTATTAATTAAGGCAGCATATTGGTCCACATTTTTCAAGACATGCTCAACATTGATTTGTGGCACTTGCTCTATGGCATACTCTGCTTTTCTGATCACAGCTTTTGTGCAGACAATTTTATTTTGTGTGTGTCAGGAGTGACTTGAGAACCTGTAAGTTGCTTCTGGCGTGAGATAATTGGCCAACTGCAAGGATTTTGCCCAGGGACACCCAGATGTTTGATGTTTTACTATTCTTGTAGGAGGCTTCTCTCATGTCCCCACATAAGGAGCTGGAGCTGACAGATGGAGATTTCCCCAGATTCGAACCGCTGACCTATCAGTCAGCATTCCTGCCAGCACAAGGGTGTAACCCATTGCATCACTAGGGGCTCCTTGTGCAGCCAATGTCTACATGTCACTATTCGGAGCCACAGCCTGATCAGATTCTTGCAGGAAGGGGAGAGGGAACTGGGCCACTTTTAAAGACAACCATTTCTGTGTGCATTCATTCTTCCAGTCCACTGCCATCACAAGCATTCATTTTATCCAACAGACATTTCACACCTCGGTCTATAATATTGCCAACTTTCAAAATACACAGTCTGGTTTTTCTTTTTCTGTGCTTCATCTCACCATCTGGGGAGAACACGTTTGAAAGTGTGCTGAATGCTGTGCCCAGGCCATGTAGGGATAAGGCAATAACACTAAACGCTCATTACTGCAATGCACGAATTGGAAGGCACACACTCTCTCATTCTGACACACACACAACATTTGTCATTGTGCCCTGGGTTGCAGCAGGCCTGCCACTAAAACACTCTGCATTCATAAATATGGATTTAATAAAACAAAGGTATTCATTCCTACAAATTGTACCATTTATAAAGAAAAAAATACCACATGCACTAATATATTTGCATGTAGATTTGTTAATAAACTAATGCCTGCACGTCCCGTCCCCCCTTTCCATATCTTAATTTTTAGCATCAGCATGAAGAGCATTATCATTGTCATACCATCTTACTGGAATCAAAATGTTTCCAAAAAGGATATACACCGATTCAGGAACTATTTTTAAGGTGGGGTACAACATTGACAGCACGTTGTTATTCATTTCGCTTACTTGCAGGGGGAAGAAAAATTACATTTCTGCTCCATTATCAATGAAATGTTCTTAAATATGTCCACATGGTGTACTTAGAAATCCCCTCCATGTGTTGCACTGTATCCGACTCCTAAGTAAATGTGCATAGGATATCCCTGGTAGGACTGAATGACAATTGGTGTCCTAATATATGTGATTGATTATTTAGCACACTTCTCATTGTTTCAGGGGTTCAACAACAAATATGTATTGGTGCTCCAGTGTTACACACCAGGGGACTGGGGTTTAAGCCCAGCAGTCTAGACATGCAGGGCTTGGGCTCCCCCATGCCTGCCTCCATTTCAAGGTTCACAAGGGAAAACTCTACACAAATTATTTCACATTGCTTAATATTGTTTTAAAATACCTTTTTTTTAGTGTTTTTCAGTTCCTGGCTTATGGCAATCCAAAATCAATCCTAACACAGAGGTTTCTTAGCTAGATTTGTATTGGGGAGGGGGGATGAGAGAGTGTGACTTGACTATGGTCACTCAGCAGGTTTCTGTAGCTGAACCCCTTATCTCCAGAGTCTCTCCTATTTTGAAAAGCGGATTCGCTGCTCCAATGATACGAAAACCACCAACAATCAATTATTTTCTTATTGTTGCTATTTTCTTGAAAGCCAAATGAGAGTTGCATATTTGTTCTTTCATAACTTGGCCTCACTTCTGTTCAGAAAGGGCCATTAGCTAAGATCAATCTCCAAATAAATATCTTTTCCAAGCTCTGACCTAACATCTTTAAGACTTGACTCACAGAGCTAACACACAAAGGGGTCTTTCTCCGCACAACTAGAAATAATTGGATGGGGGGTCCCTGTTGATGTTTTAAATTAATGTGTTTAGACTGGGAGCCTGCTGCCATGGCCTCCTCCTTCTAACATGAACCTTTTGTTGCATAATGAATATCTGAAAAAGCTGGTGCTATAATCTGCATGCTGATGATCAGGTAAAATAAAAACTGAAGAGTTTTGTTGCAAGAAAGATATTAAAGATTCAAAAGGGAAATTTTCTCCTAAGCGCAACTGTAGAATTCAAAACAAACCTCACTGAATAATTGGCATCCTGTTAGGTAAAGGTTTTCCCTTGGCATTATGTCCAGTCATGTCTAACTCTGGGGGTTGGTGCTCATCTCCATTTCTAAGCCAAAGAGCCAGTATTGTCCATAGACACCTCCAAGATCATCTGGCCGGCATGACTGCACGGAGCACCATTACCTTCCCACCAGTACCTATTGATCTACTCACACTTGCATGCTTTCAAACTGCTAGGTTGGCAGAAGCTGGGGATAACAGAAGGAGCTCACCCCAGTCCCTGGATTCAAATGTCCATAAAACCCACCTTGAAAGTGCACCAGCCATTCTAAGTAATGGAGTTCGGTTGCCCTGGTGAGCATGGCACTTTCCACCAGTGAGTGACAGTTTAATGAGGAGAAGCAGGGTCCTGTGTTGGGCCTTGTCACAAGCCTCCATCAAACCCTCAGCCACAGTTGGGAGAGTGCTGGCCATGTTATCCTGAAGCACCCTGCTAGCCAGCACCATAGAACATCCTTCAAGATGATTGACTGGCTTTTAAAGTGGGTTTCAGCAAACTGATTAGGAGATGGAGCATAGCTATGATATTGTAGCTATGCCTGTAATGCAGTATCGGCAATCATGTCTTAATTTGATGCTCAAAACAACTAATCAGCCATACAGGTCACGTCGGCATTTGGCCAGCCACATAGCACTGTCATATCTAAGGGCTAATTATGTCAGGCAACATCACTGGTTGGACTGAAATGCTCTGAGGTCACGCACACAAACACACAGGATGCCAACT